GCTGCTGGAGACTGCATATAAGCATTTGTATTATTGATTAATCCAGCGTTAGAAACTAACCGTTGATTCATGTTTTGAGCTGAAAAATCAGCGCCTTGTAATCCATTAAGTAACTTGTTATTATCAACCATACATCATAAATAAATCTTAGTACTAAATAATTTGAAAAACTATATCTTCAGTAATTAAGTAACAACTAAGGCAAACACAATTCGCAGCTTTTGAAAACTTTGAAAAAATTCTAACACTTAATGTAGTTTTATTCTTAGTGTATGTTTTAGTCTAAATAGTATTATACTATGCAATGAAACACTAATGAAATCATTTTATTGACTATTATAACAAAATAGCGTTATTATGAAATAATATCTTGAATTGAATTAATTAATTTCAAAAGTAAATTACTAGCAATTTATTTTCCACAACAAAAAAATTTCTTTTAATTCTCAAATTCAAAATAATTTTATTTTGATACTATTGTCATGTAAAAGCCAATGAAGCATTATATTACTCTAGAATGTTAACAAAAGCTTTCTTGTCAAAAATAAAATTCGACTTTTTTAACTTTTTAAAATATAATGAATAAGGTGTGTTTAGACATTCTGAACGTCCCGTCGAACTTGTGTTATGACTTTGTTGATTTTGATTTCAAACTTCTAAATCTTGATACTATAAGTAGTCAAAAAAAATATAATTACTTATACAATAATATTTTAACGAAAAAACGAAAGATTGGATTAGAAAGAACTGTTCAAACTAAAACTAACGTGGAATGTGACACGGATGTCTGCTATTTGACGCTAACAGAAAGTCAACTATCTATTTATTTACAAAAAAAACAGTTTGAAAAAAATTTTGATATGGGCTTTTTATGCAAAGGTTTTTCAACAATAATTTTAGACGATTTTTCTTTGGTTATTGTTTTATCTGAAGAATTAAAATTACGTTATTACTTGATCGCTGAATGTAATAATTATTATGATTTAGAACTTATTTTTTCTCGGTCTTTGCTTCTTGATAGCAAAGCGATATGTCTAATAGAGCGATATAGTGACACAATTCGAACAAGATCTAATTTAAACTGTTTGAATTCCAAAGTCAAAGCTTTCAAAACTCACAACCACTTAATTGTAATATGTCACCTGTTTTCTTTAGTGTTTTTATTTGATTGTGTGAATTTTTCAACGTTACAACAACAAGAAAGTAACGAATACAAATCAAATGCTACAGACGTTCCATGGTTTAACACATCCAATTACTCTTTTTTTAATTTATCGGAGAATCCAGCATATAAGTCCTTAAAAAAAAATATAGAAAACCAGAATAAACTGGTGCTGACTAGAAATACAATTATTACAAACAAAACATTTATTTTTCGCGATCTGGTGACTAGCAACGCATTTTTACTTGATTTGTTGCTTTTACTAAATATTAAAACTTCTAGTTGCCGATCCATATCTTGGGATTTTAATTCATCATTAGAGACCTTAACGTGCCTGTTTCAAATCACTAATTCGGAAGCAAACGACAGAAACTTTAGCACCAGTCTAACCATTTCAAATCTTTTTTCCAATACCTACCAACCAACAATTTCCCAGTACATAAACTGGCTTCCTAATAATATATTCAATACCATTTCTTACTTTGGAAAAAATACATATAAAATTTTTTCTTGCAAAAATTGTGTTCACGTATTAGGACACAAGCGGTTCACTATCTTGTTTCACCCAAGATTAAACAACATTAAAAAATCTTCAGAAGAACACACTGTACGAAAAAAACTACTTGAATCTCTCATAGAAGACACTATAGACGATAATGGGAAAAGCAAAAACTTATTTTCTCAAATAATTTGCTACCCCTCAAAACTTCCAATCACATTTGAAAGTAAGTTATTGATTTTTAACGACGTTTTGTTTGTGAAGTGTTTATCGAAGAAACTCAAAAGTAGACATCTATTTATTTGTATTCCGTTAAAAGGCTTGGAAAAATACCATTTCAACATCAAATTGATCTCTCTTACAAACAAGGAGTATTTCTACTTACAAAATTGCCCTTCAAAAGTTACTTGCATTCCTGACTTCACTTTTAAATTTGAATCCCAAAGAGAACAGGCTCAATCAAACGTTAATCTGTTTGCAAATCTTATAAAAATTAAATTAGATACATTTTCGTTGGATAACGAACCTATTTTCTACAACACAGTGAGCTACCCAGACCCGCCTCCTGTTATTAGTGCAAATACTGCAAACAACGATTGTATCATTTCTTCTAAAGATAACTCGAGATTTCAACTTTTCGAGCAATCATTAACGCTTAAATGCGTACCAAAGTCTGAAATGTGCTACTATATTCCTAAATTCAATTCTATGTTCATCATATCTATAGACAAAGTCTATTTTATCATTTTTTACGCCGATGTCATCGATATTAACACTTCGACAAATTTAAAAATTTATAAATGGCTGGGTTCTTGCGTCAAGTCATTTTACACCAAGCCTTTCAAATTCTCAATAGACTCAAAGTTTGGCACGATAATTACCATCAACTATATGAACGACTATTTGATTATTGCTACGAAATTTTGTTTTCTAATTTATCAAATTATCATAGAATTCGGAAACATCACAAACATAAAATTAAACTCGACGTATAATTACAACGATATTAATATGAACCATTCTCAGGAAATCGATTCTTACATAGCTGAAAGGGTGGAGTTCTACCATGATTTTTTACACGAATTAATTTATGCTAAGGTAATATATCGAGATTGTTCATCGATAAACTTTAAAATAGTTAAAACGGATGATCAGTTTTTAGTTAGTCACTTTGTTGAGACTACTATTCAGACTAATTCAAAAATTGTTGTTCCAGACATGCAAACTGAAAATGACAAAATTTCTTCAGATTTGTTTTTACTTTTTGATGATGTGGTGTTTAACTTATCAAATCTATGTCATCAAGATATTACAACGGCACTCGAAAACGTTACTTTTGAGAATATGTTTTTTACAGCAAATTCACTTTATTTATACTCTGTAAAAAAACTCAACGAGCAAGTTCTTCTCATTGATAGTCCAGCGGATTTTGACTTGCTAAAGTTAAGATTGAAAAACGCTAATATTGACATTTCTCATTTACTGTTTAGAACACTAACCAGTTATCACCAAAAGTTTTTTCGAATGAGTGAAAATAAGATTATCATTTTAGATTTTAAACCACTGGTAATCAGATGTTTGGAAATTGTAGACAAAAAATACTTAATTCAAAAAACAGTGTATATGAACCCCATTATAAGTTCAAAGATAAAGAATACTTACTTTAATTTTGTTAGTCTGATAAAATTATCGGAGAAAATAAAGAATACGATAATCATTCTAGATTCATATGAAAACACAGCACTTGCTGATCTATATTACGCAAACTCGAGAACTAACAATTATTCATTGAATGATATTGAGTGCTATTTTGTAAACTTTTGTAACGACTCTGCATTTCAGTTCTTATTAATACGGCATTTTGACAAAAAATGGTATTTGCATCAACTTGATAATCAGGGAAATGTGACGCTAGCTGATAATTTGCTGATCGAGCAGATAGATGAAATTCTGCGTGATATAGAGCTAAATTCGAACATAGACTTTGGTTTTATGTATAATAAGTTTTTGGATGTAGAGATAACTTCTTCTGAGCAAAAAAGTCCCCAGTTGAATTCAAGTAGCGAAACGAATCGAACAGAACGAGATTTATCCGATAGCCAAATGTGTTTTGACAAGAAGATACGATTAAGCGAAGGTTATGATAATATGAGAATACATCAGTTTTATACGACTTCATCAGGCTTATTGACCTTTTCAGGCTGTTATACCAAAAAAAGTTCATTTTTAGACGTTACAAACGAATTTTATTTTGACACGAGTTTGTACGGAACAGATGCACTAACTGATTATCTAACAACCAATCAATTTGAAAACATGAAGCAAGAAAACATAGATCAATATTTATTTACAAACCTTAATTCTCAAAACCCTAACCGTATTGATGTTAAAAAAGAAACTTCAGAGTTAAACACTTATTACCAGATAAAGACGTATGAAATTTTCGTTATCACGAATAACAATATTTACACATCTTACAAATTCTTCAATGAAGAAATAACTGGGTATATTGATGTGCGATACAATGACCAAGACTTTTTAATTGTAGCAAGCGGGTTCAAGATGAAAGGTGTCATACCTCAGCTCGGAAGAATTAGCATTTTACGTTTAGACTATCTCGAAAATAACTCGGGTGAGCCTAAGTTGACGCTGGTCGAATCGTCGTGGTTTCCGAATAAAGTTGAAAATTTATGTTTATCAATCGACAAAAAGTTCGTTATTTTTAATGTAGCGCAGCAGGTGTTTATTAAAGAAATCTTGATTTACCAAAATAGCAACAATCCTTTAATCAATCTCCGCGGAGGTACTTTTTTTTGGGGTGAAGACTCGATCAAAGAATTAAAGCAAATTAACACCCATTTATTAGTAACTTATTGGAAGAAAGGAATTTCAATATACCGCATGTACATTGAAGACCATGTCATTCACAACTTTATGTCCAGCTCTGCTTATAAGTCTTGCGCTATATTACTACTAGCGAACACGCAAAAAAATGAGGAATTTCCATTATCCCTTACAAGTACTACTTGTATAAATTCAGACTGTGGAAAAACATTTTTCCTCGCTTCAGAACAGAACGGAAAAATTTGCGGTTTTGCTCTTGTGCAAAATGACGAAAACTACGAACTACAGCTCTTGTTTGTTTACAAAATTTCTAACTCGAAATTCAGATTTGTCAATACGAAGCCAATAACCCAAACATTAATCATTACTTCCAAAAATGTAATGTTTGGTTTAAGCATAAAAAATGCTGAAGACTCCGCTATTACAGCTAGTCGCGTTAATTTCATCTCTTTTGACGTTTTCAAATTGCTTAATGAAAACGCTATTCCATTTACGTTAACATGGACACAATGAAAAATTTTTTTCTTCTTCACTTTCCAAGTGAACATAGTTAGTTTTTTTTTCTTGCTTCTTTATCTGCAGAGAAACAAGCTTGTTTGCAAGCTCTTTGAACAAAAACTCAATTCCTTCGTTAGTTCGGGCGCTAGTTTCTAAAAACATGCAGTTGTGCTTCATAGCAAGTTGTTTGCCTTCTTCGATCCTAACAGAATTTACGTTTGACTCGTTGTTTATGCGTTTGTCGATTTTATTACCAACAATACAAAAAATAGGAGTGCAACTACAGTTGTTTTTTACTTCTTGAATCCAGCTGTCCATTTCGTTGAAGCTTTTTCTGTCGGTTACATCATACATGACAATTACACCATTCGCCCCCTTGTAGTAACTTGAAGTCAAACCTCTAAATCTTTCTTGGCCTGCGGTGTCCCACAAAGCTAGTTTGTGAACCACATCCCCAATCTTCAGATACTTCAGCTTAAAGTCCACTCCTATGGTTGCTGAGACATCTTCTTTAAATTCTTCATTGATAAATCGCAGCATAACGCTACTTTTTCCTACACCACTGTTTCCGACAAACAATATCTTCCAGATATAATCACATTGCCTTGACATTTTGTTTTCACAAACCTATTGCGTTCAAGCTTTTTTTATTAATGTTACTATAATCTATCTAATAAATATTTAACAATTTATCTTTCAATTAAAAACAAATAAATTATAGGCCGATTTTGGGTTTTACGGAATTCAACTAACTTTTAATGAACAGCACGATCACACACAACCATAAATGAATTATTAACGTTCAGCAGTTTCTTATTATGCCATTTTAAATTATATGCTAAATAATAATTTAATACTAAATATTCTTTTCATTAAACTGGTCTGGACAATTAGTATTCTTGAAAATTTAAATTCACAGTCACCTTCGCTAGATAAAGTCAGTTCACTCAATACTAGCCATGGACATTGAAAAATGTGGCTGGAGGGGACGTGAACAACTCTATAAAAATTTAAAATCAGAACTGATCCAGGGAAATGTATTTAATTTTTTATCCAGTGTTCAAAAACAAATCACGTATGAAAGCGACAAAATCCGATCCTTGGAAGAAATATACAAGCTAGTTAGTAGTGTGTCGGATAACCAACTTCGAGACATATTGAGTAGAAAACTTCTGAGCCGCATTGTAAACTACCTACAGCAAATGAATTCAATTCTTGCAAAAAATTACCCAATTGAACTTAAGTTTAATTTTTGTAAAGAATTTGCCCAGGTATTATGGCAAATGCTCAATAAGATAGTCAAATTAATCGATTTAAATATTTTTGGCTTGTTGGTTTATCCAGTTTACAGCACCTTGCTTATCACACTGAAAAAATATCACGACATCTTAAAAAAACATAACAAAGCTGAATTCGAATCTAAATGTTCGAAAGATATAAATTACACACAGCAAACCTTAAAATTATTATTGCTAAAATATAGCATCGAACTGTCTACCAATAAGTTAAAAAAAGAAATAGGAGAAATAATAAGCCACGATGAAAAGTCTCTTCTCGAGATCCAAAAGATAGTGTTCTACAATAACGTTACTGATAGTGTTATTCGACAAAACGCTTGCAAAGAGCTCAACATGCTGGTTGCAGCGCGATATGGCAAGAACGAGATCGATTTTTCAAAACATCAATCGTCCATCGAGCTGCTCCTTTCGGGATTTTACTGCGATAATACATGTTACATAGACGATTTCATCAACTCAAATACTAATTTTGATTGTTTGACTGCGTACTACAACATACGCAGTGATCGCTTGTTTCTAGACACCATACTATTTTCTTTAATGGACGTACAGGAGGTTCAGAATTCGCGTTTATTAATGTTGTTTTCAGTCGAGCAGACGTACCATATTTTCATTCAAGTATTGCTTATACTTAATAAAATAGCGGTTGGTGGCTACAACATTACGGGTTTTGAAATACGCGTGATCATTGAATTGCTGTCTAGCATTTTAACCAACATAGCCAACAAACCGGGCGAAAATATTTACAATTTTAACGACCTAACATTAGTAACGAAAATCAAGTACAACAATAAAGATTACGCAAAACTCCGCCAGTTCACCCATCAGCTTATTTCACTCGTTTTCCCCTACTGCCCAATGTCACTCGGCCTGTTAGTGACCAACGACTCATGGGATGATTTAGACGCTTCAAGTTACAGTGAATTTTCACGGAAAACTTATCTTAAATTCAATCTACAGGGTAATCGTAACATATCAAAATGCTTGGGACAAATACTTGAATTAACACCGCACAAACTTAATCTGTGTGGAGAGTTAATTTCAGCCATTAAAACTCCAGTTATTAATAAATCGATCACCAAGACTGTGTTCAACTCAATTATCAACTACGAGGTTCAAGTGGTCATTCGAAACAACCATATCATTCCTACGCTGGAAGGACTCCAGGCACTTCTTTTGTTTCAAAGCCCTCAGGTTTTGTTTCAGATTTTATTCGAAATACAGAACTATTTTAACCCACTGCTAATCAAATGTTTGTTGTTTAATCTTTTGCTACCGCTGTTCTTTAGGTTTTCTAATTCCAAACATATGCACGAAAGTCTTGCATTTCTCAAAACCTCAACTGATTGCATGTGCGACAACTACAATTCATTAAAGTTCTTCGCATCATCCGACTCAAATAATTATCAAGCTTGTAAATACGAAGAACAGACGGACACAGACGATTACAAAATAGGAAATCGAAACGATGCGGGCTGGTGTACAATGACAATAATAGAAATCATTAACCTTTTTTTACACGTTCCATCTACTTATCTAGAGGCACACAAACCGTATACCAATGTAATCTTTTCTTTATTGCTAGGTAATATTAATTTCAGTGAGTTTAACAATCTTGTTAGAAAAGTTTTGACTCATGACAGCGACTTCTTGTACACTTTGGCAACAGAAGTCACCACTTACGAGATCGACGAATCACAGTTTGGCAATCTACAAAGCACGTATTCTAACTACTCGGGCACAGTCAAACTCGAAAACCAAATTGATTGCCCTGCCAACATAAACCTTTCAAGTATCACTCCCCAAAATTACAATCCCCACTTCACTAAATATGTTGGTCAAATGAAAGACTCACAAGACGAAGATGCATACGAATTAGATAGTTTTCAACTGAATTATAACCGGTTCAACGATAGCCACATTAAAAAGTCATTGGAACAAGAGACTCAAACTTTGAAACAAACTATGGACCGGTATATAAAGCACGCTTTGCTATACTGGATAGTTCGTTATTGGCTAGAGTCTCCATTAATTTGGCAAGATCAGGATGTGCAAGACTTCGTGTTCATAGAACTGAAAAAACAGCATATTTTTAATTATGGCAACGATATAAATTTAAAAGTGTTTAATGTAATTCACTATCCGTCAAGGCAATTGCTCGGACATTGGCATAAAATTCTTTCAGAACTTATTTTTTCAGAAGGTGAGGATTTTTCTTTTGATGAGTCTCACGCAAGAAACAAAGCTTTTTCGTTTATTATTTTTTATAACAATCTGTCTAAGATGTTGTTCACAAAAAATATCAAAAAGTTTTACAGTTTGCATTCACAAGATTTCACGGAGTTTGTCGAGTTCTCACTAGGCGGTTCGTCAACCCAAAAAAATCACCAATTTTATAATTTATACGACTCTATCCATATACTGGTTTAAATGTTCATAAGTTTTTTGAGCTTTCGTAGACCGGCAATATTCATACTCCTGGCATTTTTTGTTAGGATCACAGTTAACAAGTAGGAAAAAAAAGTTTTTCCTGTGTTTGATCAAATCTAATACAACGCCAAAAACGAAAAATAGTACGAGTCTTATAAGAAATTTATTTTTATTGTCAAGATAGTAAGAGGAATAGTACATGTGAACGCTATCGATCGTCAGGATAAACGAGAACCTATACTCAGCTGTATTACAGTTGAAAAAATTAGGTATATAGTGGAAACAAGTAAGGGCTAGTTGGTTCGTCATATCGATGAAAAGAAGTTAGAACATCGGCTTGTATATGCTTGATGCTAGAAGCAGGATAAGCCATGTTACAAGCACGAATAAGCAGCCCCTACCATAATTGGTCAATACTGCAATGGTATAAGCCGTTGCCAGCGATGTTGTCGCCTCTGATGAGTATTTCAAATTGCCGAGAGTCAGTATAATTGCTATAATCGCAAGCATTGGATGACCGGCAGTATCAGTGGGGTACGAGCACCAGAGAAATTCAAGAAAACAGACCAAGATATACACTTTCCTTACTCTATCCCATTTGTTAGAAATTGATGAGTATCTTAAAGAAAGTGTAAATGTTCAACTTACCTGCCAGACAAAACCACGAAAATAGCTATTAGAACTACGAAAAAATTAAAAAATAATATTGTTAAAATGGTAGTTAGAGCTACGAAAAAATCAAGAGTATATACCGCTGCGTCATTTGCCAATATCTTTTCTATAGCTAATCACGGTCAAGTTTCCCGTTTGATTCATCCAGATAAAATTTAATTTGGATAATTGAAAATTTTAAAAAAAAAAATTAAGATATTTAGCAATCTAGTTTCATTAGGTGATTAATAAAATTAAAAAATGAACACACGTTCATAACTTCTTATTGATTGGTTAAAAAAAAATTTTATACATATAAACTCACTGTAGAGAGATGAGTCAATGATTTCAGGCATTGGTTCTAGTTTGGTTTCAAATCTATTTTGAACCTCTTCAAGTATTTTTTTGTCTTCGCCGCAGGTGACCAAAATAATGACAAATCCTTTAGTACCGAACAACAATCCACAAAGATCGTATTTCAACTTCTCGAATACAGTCAAACTTGAAAACCAAATTGACTGCGTGGCCAACGTAACTCTTTCGAATATCACTTTCCACAACTACAGTAACCATTTCACTAAGTATGTTGGTCAAATGAAAGACTCACAAGACGAAGATGCATACGAATTAGATAGTTTTCAACTGAATTATAACCAGTTCAACGATAGCGACATTAAAAAGTCATTGGAACAAGAGACTCAAACTTTGAAACAAACTATGGGCCGGTATATAAAGCACACTTTGCTATACTGGATAGTTCGTTATTGGCTAGAGTCTTCATAAATTTGGCAAAGTCAAGATGTGCAAGACTCCGTGTTCATAGAACTGAAAAAAAACAGCATATTTCCAACTATGATAATGATATAAATTTAAAATTATTTAATGTAATTTATTATTAGTCAAGGCAACTTCTCGAATATTGGTACCAGATTCGTTGAGAAATTATTTTTTCAGAAAAAGAAGATTTTTCTTTTGCTGAGTCACATGCGAAAAACAACATTTTTCGTCCATTATTTTTTATAACAAACGGTCTACGATGCCATTTAGAAAAAATATAAAAACGTTTTCAGTTTACATACTTAAGATTTCAATCAATTTGTCGAATGATCACCAGACGGTTCGTCGATTCAAAAAAAACCATAAATTATTTACTTTATACACATGAATTCACATCTTGATCTAAAAGTTTATATATTTCATCATGTTTCATGCAGTAAATTTCATGGTTACTGTATACTCTATTGGGATCACATTTGACAATTAGGGAAAAAAAGTTTTCTTTGTGCTTGACCAAATCCAAAACGACGCTCATAATTAAAAGCACAGTTAGTTCCAAAATGAATCTAGAATTGGTTTTGTGCATAAAAACGAGGTTCCATTTGCCGAATTTAAAGTTCATACACATGAACGGACAGTGCAAATCAAGTGGATAGTCAAATATTGCATTGTTTAAATAGAAGAAATTAGTAACGACTATTTGATTTGTCATATTGGTGTAAAGTACGTAGAATATCGGCTTAAATAAGAAGGATGCCATAAACAGTATAAACCATGTTAAGACCATGTATTTTAAGTCTGCACCAAAGTCGGCCATCATTCCAATAGTAAAGGCAGATGCCAACGATATTATAAATAATGATGAGTATTTGTGAGACCGGAAACATAACGCGACGAAAAATAAAAAGAAGCATAGTAAGTAGGAACTTTCCAATTCGCGACTTAAGGAGATAGCACTTAAGGCATACAACAAAATAGACAAATTCATTATTTTATCCCATATGCGAGAAATTAACGAGTACCTTAAAGAATGTGTTAATGGATCACTTACCTGCCGCCTACAACAGCAACAATACCGGTTAAAACTAACGTTATAGTCAGAACTCGAATCACTGTATTGATGAACATGGTGTGTTTCAAATAACTAAAGTCAAGTCTCGTGCCTGTTTTACACGGATAAAATTTTAATTTAGATAATTAAAAAACATATATAAATATCCAAAAAATAAAAAAAAAATCTATAAAAAATATAAATACAAAAAATAAAATTTAGCTATTAATTTAAAAGACTGAGTAATTCAGTTTCATTAGGCGACTTAAAAGAGCAAAAAATGAAAACACATTTATAACTTCTTATTGATTGACTAAAAAAAAATTTTATACATATAAACTTACTATAGAGAGATGAATCAATGATTTCAGGCATTGGTTCTAGTTTGGTTTCAAATCTATTTTGAACCTCTTCGAGTAGTTTTTCATCTTCGCCGCAGGTGACGAAAGTAATAGCAAGTCCTTTAGTGCCAAAACGTCCTGCTCGACCAACGCGATGAAGATAGGAGTCGCTAGAGTCTGGCACGTCGTAGTTAATAACTATATTAACCCGCTCTATGTCGATACCCCGGCCAAGTAAGTCGGTTGCAACCATAATTCTCGCTTCGAAAGATTTGAATTTTCTGTATACTTCTATCCTGCTGGCTTGGCTCATTCCAGCGTGGATGGAGATTGAAGGCAACTTGTTTTCAGTCAGCAGCTGCGCAAGCATACGTGCTCGCGGTATGCTTTTCACAAATATAACAACCTGGTTATAGTCCAGTTTGTCGAGCAGCTCAATAAGTTTTTTAGTTTTTTGCTCTTCGTTGAGGTTTACGTAGTACTGAATAAGACCGTGGAGGCGTAATTGTTTCTCGTCGTCCACCAAAACGTGTACGGGAGACTGCATGAAACGGTTGCAAACCTCCATCATTTCGGGGCTCAATGTGGCGGACAACATAATAACTTGTTTTACACGCGGCGTGTTTTTAAAGATTTGCTGGATGTCACTTCGCATATCAAGTTTTTCGAAACATTTGTCACATTCGTCGACAACAAAGTGAGCAATGTGCTTTGTTTCAAAGACGTTGGCCTGAAATACAGCCAAAAGACGACCAGGTGTTCCAATGATTATATGAGGAACAGTAGAAGGACTTTTGAAAAGGTCGAGGTTCTCCTTTATAGGAGATCCTCCGTAAAAAGCAGCGCAGCGCAGTTCTAGAATGTATTTTCCAAAACGCACGAACTCGTTTTTGATTTGCAACACTAATTCTCTTGTGTGGGCAATTACGACACATGCGACGTTGTTGCCCAGCACAGAAATATTTAACTGGTTGAGAATCGAAAGCACAAAAACAGCCGTTTTACCCATTCCACTTTTCGCCTGACACAACAAATCTGCACCTGTGATGGCGTGAGGAATGGCCTCACGCTGAACTTTACTAGGTCGTTCAAAACCTGCATCGTTTACTGCTCTGATCAATTCAGGTCTGAGAAAAAAATGTCTAAAACCCCCTGCGTCGTTGCTAGACTTCTTCTCGTTTGAAAAGTTGTCATTATATTCTTCGTTGTCACAATATTCAACTAGAGCAGCTTCCTGAGCCAGAGACATCTTAGTAATATTTATTTTTTTGTTTAATATAATTATAAATTGCTAATATACTTATTCAAAAAATTTTCCAAAATAAAAAATTTCATTTTTTTAGGTATTTCGCTTTACTTTCTAAATTAATTAAATGAACTTTATCCGCACTAACAACATTTGAATTCGACTTAGTTATAAATAAATTATGTGATCTTACCAGTTCTTGGACGTAGTAGCTGTATAATGCTGTGTGCATTTAGTTGCACCAATAATGAAAAGAGGGCCCATAAGATACAATGCTTCAGATTTCCCCTTTCCTTGTGCGCTGCTCAAACTGCCTTGGCAGTCGAACCAACGGTACACGCGCCTTGTCACTGCAAACACAGATAATGAAAATTCTCGTCTAGCATTGCACTTTATCAAAGACTTCATAAACAATATGATTGTCGAAGAAGTTTGCTATGACCCGCCACTTTACATTATCAGGTTTGGCTGGAACAGTTTTGATCAGTTCGAAATTTTCAACTCGGTTTTCAACACGGAACAAGTGATGGCGATTCAGCATTTTTTTTGTGTCGCCACCCAAAACACTTTTCTTGGATCAGCGCGCTACACGATAATTAGAGCCAACCCAGATAATTCTAAATGCGAAGATGATAAGATTTTCCTTGTTCACCATGTTGTCGAAGACTTAACGACTGCAACGCTGGAATATTGCGATATCGAAGCCTTATGGCGCGAAAAACTAGTTGATCGTATTCTCGAGTTTATTTACAACGAGGACAGACCAATTCACTTGGTGATTTTTTTAGATCTTTCGCAAACAACGACTTGTTGGAGTTCAGAGCATATGACCTCCATAACGTATTTTATATGCCAAATAACAAGCGTAGTAGCTAGCTCTCTGCCGTTAAAAATCAATCAGCCTCAGTACATTGCCACTTTTCAAATCGTGGTGCTGCCAAACACGGGTTTCAGCGAAGGCGTTATGTCGCTTCGTCGAGACCCGATTTCAAAAACAACCAACGCAACGAATTGTTCAAGCATCCGCTCGTGGATGTTTAAAAAACCAAAGGAAAGAATTGATGAGAAAGAGCATGTTCCGTTTAGTTGTCCAAGGACTACGAATGTAATTGAATATGTAGGTATGTCGCCTTCTTCTGTTAAAGAGTTATCGTCCGAGCAATACGGCCAAGAATTGCCACGCGCGGGCCTTAAAGATTTCGACCTCACTAGACCGAGTACAGCGAGCTATGTTGTTAATAATCATTACAAACTGTGTGACCCATATCATGACAGCTATTTTAATAAAGACCCCATAGATGAACTTAAATTCCATTTACAGCAAAATTCTGAACAAGTCAAGCAAACCCCTCCATTAATAGCACAGACCAAAAAAATCTATCCCGCAAAAACGTGTAACTGCTGCTCGAAGGAAACAGAATTTTACATTCCTGCTACTGTTCAAAAAGTCAAATATATGTACCCTGAATACATTTCACGTCACGATTTAACCAATGAAGCTTCGCAACAAGCCACGCCTCACATGTCTCGCAGCCAAATCTCCAACATCAATCCTTCCGCGTTTACAAGCGTCACCAGCTCTAACGCGCCGAAACCAACGTTAACAAACACACAAGATAGCTACGGTCAAGATGACCGACCTGTGGACGTTCACAAAGAACGCCCCGTCCTAAATTCAATACGAACTGACACAATTAAAACCGCCAAAATGGCGGAGACTACGAACGACAAAAAGGGATATTTAAACTACCTTAAAACTCGTTTCAACGAGGGCGAGGACAACAGTCAAAAAAATTTTATTTATCACCCACAAATAATTTTTATAAAAGATAAAATAAACAAAAGCTAATCGCCGGTCGTAGAATGTGACTTGACCAAACGTCCAATATAGATTTTATGATTGATTGTTGCAAATTTAATTTAATTCATGCGTTAATTGTTCGCATATCGAATGTATTTTATAAATATCTTTTAATTATATAATAAATTTTATATAGCTCTTCAGAATCATCTCAGCGTCCAACCAAACAGTTTGCGTTTGAAATGTAAGCTTTTTCACTGCTTAGTAAACATGGATGAATAATTCGTTGAGATACCCTTATAACACGTCACACTACCGTCGATGGATAGCGCCAACGAAGAATACTTTTTTGGAGATTAAACAAAAATTGTCTGAACGAGCGCTAGAACGGACTAAGAAAGAAATCTTAGCGTTGGACAAGCCTAAAATAGTAGAACTTATAAACAAAAGTTTGAATGACAAGATAGTTGAGGACTGCCTGAACTGGGTCATGCAGACTTCGATTGAAATTTGGAATTTGCGTCGCGTCGACTTCAAGATAATGAACACGACACTAACGCTTTTTCGCAGGTATTATTTACGCAGAACTATTATCGACGCTCCGCCACAAATTATTATCATGACTTGTCTGTTAGTGGCGACGAAAATTGAAAATTCAGTTACGGAGCTGAGACCTTGCGAAGCTTTTTTTAACGAACAAGAATTGCAACAGTTCCACTTAGCTTTAGAATACGAGCCAGATTTAATCAAGTACGTGTTCTACGATTTTTTAGTGATTTGTCCGGATTCTATTTTGCTTAACTACATCAAATACTATTACAAATTTCGAATTAGTCGCAAAGACTTTCGCACTGCTTCTTCGTGGAACCAAGACATAAAACCATCTTTCAAGTTTGAATTGCTTGATCCCAATTACAAAAATGCTTTCTCGAGCAAGGAGGCCAGTGAAGAAACGTCACTAAACGAGGAAAAAAAACTTGAGACATGGCTGAACTACTGCCACTCACAGTTGCAAGCACTTTATTTGCTTTCACATACTATCAATGTTCAGTTTTACAACACGCCAAGCATTATCTGCCTGGCCATTTGGAAATTTTATTTTGGCGAACTCAAAAATATGCCGGATACCGATGAGTTTATGTTAAGTTTGCTCGACCCAGAAGTTTCTTACAAGCAAGGTCTGCAGTACCAAATTGATTTAGCTGTCAATTCGGTTGTTTCCGAATTAGCTTGTCTCTGCAACGTGTTGTTAGAGTCCAGTGCGGAGATCAAGGCACCCTCTATAATGATCATGATGAAAATAGTCAAAAAACTTGGAAAACTCTCTAGCCGTAGCAAGAGGCTACTGGAGTCTGAAACTTCAAACTTAGATATGAACAAAAAAGTACGCAGCGAATAAAACCATATGTCCAAAGTTTTAGCCATAAATTTTTATTAAAAAATTTTACATGATAATTCTGGAAGTATATTTCCTGTAAATTGAACCGAGTAAAGTCACTCACTCGTTAATTCTACCATTAAAATATAGTATTATTAAGTCAGTTGCATTCTTTTTTTGGACATAATGGATATTCACTATTTAGACAAAACACCAATATATTTTTCTAAATTCAGCAAAAATTACTAAACCGCCAAAATGTCTAGAATAGCTCGTGGTATTCGTTGCGCTAGAAAGCTTAGAACAAGGCATAAGAAGCAGCTGTGGGCCGATAAAGCTTACAAAAAGGTAGCTCTTGGTTCCAAGTGGAGACACGATCCATTCCAGGGAGCATCTCACGCCAAAGGTATTGTTGTTGAAAAACTCGGTATTGGAGCAAAGCAGCCAAACTCAGCTACACGTAAATGTGTAAGAGTCCAACTTATTAAGTCAGGAAAGAAAATTACCGCCTTCGTACCGAGAGATGGTTCGCTAAACTTCATCGACGAAAATGATGAAGTCCTCGTTTCCGGTTTCGGTCGTTCTGGACATGCCGTAGGAGATCTTCCAGGAGTACGTTTCAAGGTTGTCAAGGTTTCCGGTGTATCTCTTTTGGCTCTTTTCAAGGGAAAAGTTGAAAAACCAAGAAATTAAATTTTTTTCTACATTCCATATCACTTTGTACTTTCTTATCCTTTCTAGTGCCTCTTAGTTCCTATTTTATAAATTTTAAATACACATAAAACTAAATAAAAACTGGTGATGTTTGTAATATTAAAATAAGTAACAGAAAGAGGTTTGCGGCTTCTGTAATCTACATTTCTGATTCTCGTATCAAGCTAGTTTACAAACTTTGGCTGTTTCTAAACTAGTAGGCAAGCTCGTAGTTGGAACGTATCGATAATCGTCAATCTGAGCTTCGTTACGCGACATTTTTTCGTTTAACTTCTGAATTTGCAATGTAAGATCTAACCACCGCTTATCGATCTCGTCAAAGTCCATTTTGTCTTCGTTGTACATGTTACTCGTGCACGACGTTAAATCAAAATTGGCATTTCTGTGATTATTATGAGTGTCAGACTTTTTATTAGCGTTTCCATGCTTTGTTTTCAAAAAATCCAAAAGTTTTTTGTGTTTAGACTTTAGTTCTTCATGTTCTTTCTTGAATACTTCAAGCTCTACGCTCGCTTTCTCTGTACGAGCTATTAGCTGCTCACAATAAAACAAAAAGTCTCTATGATATTTCAATTCTTCTTCTAAGAAGACCCTCATTTCGACCTCGTTATTTAATTTTAATGTCAATTGTTCAGACAACAAATACACGCATGACAACTTTTTAAACACATCAGATAGCTTTTCGCTGAACTCACTCCGCGAAAACTTTGACTTGTTGCTCAAAGTATGTATGAACTGGAAACTGGACTCTATGATTTCAATAATTTCTATGTTTTTGTTTAAAATAGTATCAGATGCCTTTTTGAAATCGTTAAATCTCTGATCTACTTTGGCTGCTTCATCTATGAGAACTTCATTTTTGTGCCTTTCGTCTCTAAGCTCCACACCGAGCAAACTATTTGCATTAGTTAACGAACTGATCTTATTTTCCAATTCTTTTATATTCACTTCTAACTGATTGTTTGCAGCTTTGAGCCGCGAATTCGCATCTTTTTGTAAATTTATTTCGTTCATTAAACGTCGATTTTCCGCTAGTCTCTCATTAAATTTGGCTGACAATTTGTTTTTTTCATCTTGCAAATTTTTGAAGTTGCTCATCAAATTAGTTATCTTGTCATTGTTTTTAAAAATTGATGCCTTAATATTGGACGTTATCAAGTTTGTGATGGCTATATGAAAATCTTTTCTACTTAGTATGTTTGCTCCAAAATTTTTGACTAAATCGTTAATCGATTTATGCAAATGAGAGGTTTTGTTTTTTTCATTTAACAAATTGTCTTGGTTCGAATTATTGTCGTCCAGATCTTCCTGAGATGTGTTGTTCGAAGTTGCAGGAAAAGTTTCAAGTGAATTAGAAATCGAAAAAAAATTCCGAATATTTTCATTGTCCTTATCATTTTCCACAACTTCGTACAGCATGTTTGATATCGTAGAAAGGGTGGTAGGGTCGGCGTGTTTGCCAGTCAATCCGTTGATTAAGTCATGAACAACTTTGCTCATTTCAAAGATTCTGACGTGGTAATCGAGTCTTGAACTCAGTATTTTGTTGATACTATTAATGGCATCGTCTGTAGATATTTTCTTGTTAGTTATTATTTCAAACACCTTAGTCAGTATTTCGTTCATCTCATCGTTACGCACGTCCGTAGAACCTGTGAGCATGGTAAACTTATTTAGAGTAGCCGCTATCTTAGTCATCTTAGAGCATTGATCTTCAGTGTAATTATTATTACTGTTAAGGTCGCTCACATTGTTGAAAAAATCATTCTGCAGCACGGAATTTGTGAAATCGGTTCGTCCCGTTGTGGGCCTGCTGGCGATTTTAGTTAGAATAGCTGCCAATGACTGGGCTTTTGCATTTATGTTTTCCGAGAATCCTATATCAGAATTTTTCTGAGTAGCAACATTTTTTTCAATAGAAGTTGTTGGAACTTCCGTTTTAAACGGTTTTTCTGGAGAGTGTTCTATAGAATTGTTTCTCTGAGCCACCACATTATCCAAACTAAATAGCACTTTAGGAACATTGTTGTGCTTATGTTTTAAAGTTGCTAAAGGAGCTTTTTTGCGATTAAGGGAATTAGGACTAGAAATTAAAATTTTTTTGGGAGGCGTTAATTGGTCCAAAAGAATCTGTGTTTTGAGCAAAGAAGCTGGATGTTCAGTGCTACTGTCGATACCATTGTGGTTCATACTAATTTGAACTAATATAAATTACACTGGTTTAATATATTGGTGCAAACATGCAAATTCTAAGTAACTATTGAAAATATAAAACTGAGAAGAGTTAAAAAGCTTAAAAAGTGGTTACTGGTTTATTGTTATTTCTTATTCTTTTTGTTGTTGTTGTGCTTCTGCATTGAATTGTTTTTTTGCATCCGTTGCAGCACATGTTCTGGTGGCTGCGTCCCAGTCAACATTTCGTATCGTCTGTGTAGAGATCGTTTCCACGCTCGAACATTTTGTTGGAACTCACGCCAGCTTGAACCGTCAACACGAGGTGTAGCTGGGTCGTTGGGCGAACGCAAATCTCGTGGGATTGTGTTCGAGTAAAAAATGTATTCAGGCGTGCTTTTAGCGCGAGCAATTTGTTTAAACCGTCCTTGACTGGGAGGGACGCGTACTACTGTGTTTTCACGCTGTGTATTTTTTCCTAATTTAGTGTTCGTCGAGGTACTGCTGGAGTCTTTGGGAATGTATTCTATTGTATTTACATATGCCTGAAGCGTAAACGGATCAGCTTGCGATAAAGACAAGAAAAGTTTTCTCCAGTGAGTCAGTGAAGATCCATGACAGAAAATTTTATCGTCTTCCGGATACGTTTGAATTTCTTCCTTGGTGATGTAGGGATTGACACCTCCAGTCGGCAAGAAAGAAGACGAAAAGATCGAATTTTCTTTGTTTGTATTTGTAATTTCGTTTATAGTGTTAATTAAGATAGACAACTCATCTTCAGACTCGTTTGATTCATACAAATGTAAAGCAGGCATAGTTTCAGTTGCACGATTGTAATTTAAATTTATGTCAATAATATTTTCATCTACCCAATTTGATTGTTCCTCGTGTTTTTCTTCTTCCCCGTCCTTTTCCTCATCAATGTACTGCAGTTGAACCTTGTTTTTAGGAAATTGGTTTAATTCAGTGTCGCGTGCGTTAATATCCATTATAAGTTATTTATACTTGGTTCATTATTAAGTTTTTCCAGTCGATAAAAAAATTCTCCTATAAAAAACCCAAGCTAAAATTTTTTACATAAATTATACTCGCAATAGTATTAAAATTTATTAAGATTATACAAAAACAAAAACGAGATTGAACAACACTATGTTCGCAGTGAGTGTTCTTTTTTTCTATTTGTTCGTTTATGTGCCAACTTTTCTGTGAAATTGTTTTTTTCGAGCTCGACAGAACTCGCTGTTAGTGAGTGCAAAACGGCCTTAGGAGTCGTGAAAATTTCATCGAAATCGATTTTAAATGGCTCAAACAGGATTTTGTATTTTTGTTCTATATTTGCTAAACGGGCTTTTGCGTGTTTGTATTTCAAACAGTTGTTTTTGAAAATTATTTGGAGCGAAACTCCTTCTTTTCCTGCACGAACACACCGACCGGAACGATGAATATAGTTCTTGTCGTCGTACGGCAGTTGTATATTAATAACCCAGTCTACGGTTGGTATGTCGATTCCTCGTGCGACTAAATCGGTGGCAATTAAAACGCGATTTTCTCCACAAATAAAACTGTTTAAACTTTGTGTTCTCATTCTTTGCAATTGTAAACTGTTTATACAAGTAACTTTGTGCTTGAGCATTCTAAGTGTTCGACTCATGAGTTCCGTTGATTTAATGTCTAAGCAAAAAATAATACCCGTCGAAGGTTCTCCAAAACCATGTTTGTCACTATTAAGTAAAAAATTTATTAAGTGATATTGTGGAACGATAGAATTCACTAAAAGCTTATAATGTTTTAAAATAAGAAGAGGTTTTCGAATGTCAACTACTTCGAACTTAGTCAACGGAAAATGAGCCGTGATAGGTTTTAAGTTTACGTCAGTAGCGGAAAACATGATAATCTGAGCTTTCTGAGGCACGATTTTGATTATTTCAGCAACATCTTTGTAAATGTTGTCGTTGAACAAACAATCAAATTCGTCGAGAACAAAAAATTGTAGCATGAAAAAATGCCGAGTGATTGAATGCTCTTTGAGCAAAAGACTCAGTCGTCCAGGTGTAGCGACAATTATGTTAGGATAGTTAATAAAGGCAGATTTCTGTGTTACATAATTTTGACCACCTATAATTTCAACGCTTTTGATACCAGAGCTACTGCCAAAGTCGTGAATAAATTTGTAAATCTGAGTAGCCAGTTCTCGGGCCGGCACTATTACTAGTGCAAAATAAGGGCTAGGATCTCTGCAGTATAGCTCAATTATTGGCAGTAAAAATGCTAGAGTTTTACCAGAACCGGTAGGTGCGTACGCTATGATATTTGCGCCTTTCAAGATTTTAGGAATCACACGTTCTTGAATCTCAAAAGGAGAAATTATCTTATACGTGCGCAAAGCCGCTACAATGTGCTTTGAAAGACCAAGCGTTTGCATTTACCAGGTCGATAGTTAGTATATTAGTGCATAATCCGCGTTTCTAAATTTAATGCAAGAAAAAAAAAATTTCAAAAAAATTTCTAAAGCCAAAATTGATTCTTGATATATTTATTGAACTTAAACTAATTTTCTTTACATTTTCTGCAAATTAGTCAAACATTTGCAAAAATTAATAAACTCCGCGTTGATACAGAAATGTATATTTAGTTAACAAGTACATTGGTTTTCAAATGGAAGCTAATTTTGTAAACGACATTAATATCAAAAATTTCCACATCACCAGCTCCTGCTACTTAGAAAGTGAAAATCAGTGTTTGTTAGGAACTAGTAGCGGGGCTCTTTTAAAGGTCTTTTGTCCATCAGTTAATATACACCAGACTATCCAAATCTCCACAGCTTTGATAATTGAAATAATAAAAATCAAAGATGACGAACTTCCACGAAGCTTGTCAGTGTGTTTAGATAACAATAACTCTGTCTTTTTGGTTGATTACGCTCGAGGCCTTTGTTTGACGTCAATTACATCAAAGAACGCAAGACTTTTTGCTATTTGTAAAGGAAAATCTTCTAGAGAATTTTTACTTTCATGCTCAGGAGGACTTGTCAAAAAATTGCTCATTACTCGCGACAGTAATTCCAACTCTGAAGACTTTTTTGCTTTTGATGATAACTTTTTCTACAACTTGCTAAGCAACACCTGCCTCACTGCAATTTCTCAACATGATAATAATGTGTTTTTAGGAAGCTCAGACGGCGATGTCTACATGCTAGATTACGAAACCAAGAATCTACAACCCAAAATAAAGTTGAAGTCCATTCAGTCAAACACGTTAGTTACGAAATCTAAAAAACGACGTCTTAAGCTGGAAGAGATGCGAAACAACATTCCTAAGTACGAAAACGTATTTTTATATTTGGAAAAAATCGACAAAAAGCTGTCAGAACTCGACGAATCAACAAAGCAAATAAAACAGTTCGAATCTTCTTTTATTACGGATTGTATATACAACCGTCAACACGGCGTTTGGATAATATCCAACTCTAATGGATATATTACCACGATTGATCAAAACACTTTCACTATTGTTTCTGAGTACAAACTTCACGACGGTCCGATTACCAAAATACTGCAACACGGAGATCAAACAATTATATCTGCAGGTTATGATGGCAAGGTCTACTGGAGTACGTTAACTAACGGATCGCTTTACCCAAAAGGATTTAAGCAAATATCCAAATACAACTTAAACTACATTATGCGCCTTGAAACTACACTAGTTATTTGTGGTATGTTCAGAACTTATTTTCTGTGTGACATCAATTACGATTTAACGAACAACAAAGTTCCAGTTCGGAAAACACTCAGCATTCCAGACACAATTCAGGGTTTGCAGTTGTCTCAAAGTGACTATCTTGTAAGTGTATTAGACCAAAACAAAATCTCGATTTTCAATGTTTTACCTTCTAAAATGCCGCATTCAATTCACACAAAAATCATTGACAAGATCTCGGATTCTTTGAGTCCGGTTGCTTTGAAATACTTGAATTTGTCTGATCTAAACTCAGATTTTTTCAATGTTCCGAAAATTCCGTTTGTCAACAAAGATGAAGCTTATCACTTAGTAAAGCTTATTCCAAATAATTGTTTAATAAGCGATTATTGCATGATGGACGATTTTTCCGACAGTAATAAGAAAAAACTGCTTATAAGAGGCTCGGATTCCAAGCTGTTTGAGTTTACCTTTACTTGTCAGTTAGAAACTTCCGTACCAGAATTGACCCTGTCCAATGACGACAAAATTATCACAATATTACATAATTTATCTGTCGATCTTTCAAATAATAGTATTACGTCGCTAAACTACGACACCGCTAGCGGGATTTTGGCTGTAACTCTTGTTTCTGGTGATTACAAAAAAGAACTCGACAGCACAGTCGTATTAATCAAACTTGGAACCGACGAGAACATTCGTTTAATGTCAAAAAAAAAAGTCCAAATTTCTAACGAACAGATTATCCCAACTATTAAAATTAGCTCAGAGAACTTCAATCTCAAAACGCATATTCAAGAAGATTGTGTTGCTTGTGCATATTCTTTTAAAGGTTTATTAGTCACTAATCCAGATCCTGCCGAAATTCATGATTTCACGTTTAGACTGAATAGCAATCACCTAATTTGGTTTAATAACTTCAGTTTTGTAAACTTGTCTGAAAAGACTAACATTGAGTTCCAATTTATCAATACATTAAAGTATATTTACACTATTCGTAATATTTCTCAACTCAAGGTTTACGACAAAAGTAAAAAACAATTTTGCTCGATAAAGGCCTACAAAGAATTTAAATCACTCATTTCCAGTACAAATTATAATGTGTGGGATGCTTTTTCAGTTACCAAAGGCCCTGACAACTCAGTGTTTTTGTCAACGTCGTATATTGTTTTGCACCTGCAGCAGCAATCAGTGGTTCAGCTATTGGGTTCAATTAAAAAACCACTCGAAAGTAAAATAAACAAACTGTTTTATGCTGATAACAAGTTACATGCAATTTTAGACCCGTTTGTTCGAAGTGACGAAATTGTTTACAAACGACGAAAATTCGGTCAGATTGGGTGAATATAATTTGTTTTATTGTGCTCTTAAAATTTTTAGCCCAACTTTTTTTTTATAGATTAGCACCGGTTGTCTTGCTCTGATTGAATGATTAAACTAGATAATTTAATGTCAGTCTAACTAAAATAGAATATCAATTTTTAGCGTACCGAGAACAAGGATTTATCTTTTTACATAAATTAATATCTAATTTTCGTTTATAAATTTTTTTACTGCTAATTTACTAGTTTATCGTGTGATAAATTAATATTTCTTATTTGTTTACCTGACGACCGATGTTTATCGTAGAAGTATGGAGGATTTAAACGTTAATGAAATTGTAAGTTAATGAATCTTTTACAGAATTATTTAGTTGATTGGTAGATACCAACTCGAATGTTGTGAGTTAGATAAGAAAATAAATGAAAAAAACGAAGAAATTTTGAAAATAACAAGCATCAAAGAAACCGAGTATGGATTAGCTCCTGCTAGTTGTTGGGATTTACAAACGGATACCAAAATTTTAGAGGTCGAGCAAGGTTTGCAAGTTGGAGAATGTACTTCAATACTGGACGCTGAGACGAGCAACCCTAAATACGTCGTAAATTTAAAGCACGTAGCTAAATTCTTGGTAGGATTAGACGAAAAAGTGTCCCCAGCAGACGTGGAAGAAGGTTGCCGTGTGGGTCTAGACCGAGGAAAATATCAGATACAGCTAACGCTACCACAACAAATAGACTCAACTGTTTGTCGAATGGTTATTGAAGAAAAGCCAGACATCACGTACAGCGACATAGGAGGCTGCAAAGAACAGCTAGAAAGGTTACGTGAAGTAGTCGAAATGCCTTTGTTATATCCCGAGAGATTTGTTGAATTAGGAATTGATCCGCCAAAAGGAGTTCTATGTTACGGACCGCCAGGAACCGGTAAAACTCTCACAGCAAGAGCTGTAGCCAACAGAACAGATTCGTGTTTTATCTGTGTAATTGGCAGCGAGCTAGTCCGCAAATACGTTGGTGAAGGAGCTAGGTTAGTCAGAGATTTATTCAAACTTAGCAAAACAAAAAAATCGTGCATTTTGTTTATTGATGAAGTCGACGCCATAGGAGGTTCAAGAGGTGGTGAAGGCTTATTTGGTGATCGAGAGGTACAACGAACTATGCTCGAAATCATCAACCAGTTAGACGGGTTTGATTCTCGTGGAAACATTAAAGTGCTTATGGCTACTAACCGACCAGACACTCTTGATCCAGCCTTAACGCGGCCTGGTAGAATCGACAGAATGATCGAGTTTGGGCTTCCGGATTTAGAAGGTCGTGTTCAGATTTTCAACATTAACTCGCGACGCATGGTCACCGCGCCTGGTATAAGATATGAATTGCTCGCACGTCTGTGCTCTAATTGTACAGGAGCTGATATAAGATCGGTTTGTACAGAAGCCGGAATGTTTGCGATTAGAAACAGACAGAAAGCCATCACAGAAAAAGATATGCTTATGGCAATTAATAAAATAATCAAAGGTGATAAGAAGTTTAGCGCAACTGCTAAATATATGATTTACAATTGAGTCGTTTAATAAGTTTGCATTTCATACATCGTTAATGCTTAATTACTTTATATCTTTTATTTTCTAAGTCAACGTAGAAAAAATTAAAGTCGTTTCGATTTTTTAAAAATAAAACTTTAAATACTGAGTTAATAATTAAGCTTCCTACCTCTTGTAACGTGCATTGATATACCACGAGACTCTCCTGTGTATTCTCCTGAGCCCATTTGCTCATCAGCCTTCATTCTCACTCCAGACAGTTTGATCAATTTACGTCTATACTTTTCACGGTTATGAACTCTTGCATTTCCGGAAAACTTTTTACGTTTTCTGGTCAAACCACGATTTTTCTCTATTTCTCGAGTTAAATTTCGGTTGGCTGTAGGGTCTTTAATCATTTTCGGCAATACAGGTAATTTTGATAATTGTTTTACTCTATATAGATGTGCTTTGAAATCCTTAGTGATTAGTTTAGCTAGCGCTTCTGGTTCCTTAAAGTCATCTTTAACATTATCTAAATCTTTATCACTTAATAAAAAGGAGTTTTCTTCTTCATTGCTAAATTTAGAATCAGATGATAAGTTATGTAATTCAGTATTATCTTTGTAGACAGAATTATTATCATTATCTTCATCCTGCTCTCCGGTTTGCGATGGTGATTCATTATCAGATAAAGAAACTTTTTCTAAATAAGATACGTTTCCATGTTTAAAGAACGCATCACATACGAGCGTTGCTGCATGTAGTTCGTCTTGGGGGAAAAATTTATTCATCAGATGTAAAATTTTTTTAATCACAAGAGAAGTTTGGACCCATTCAACAGCAAAAGTTTTTAAATTTAGCTTTCGTTTTGCGGAAAGCATTATTGAAGCCAGACAGATTGCTTTTAACACTATTTTAGCAAAACACTCAGCTGGTGGACTGAGTTTGAAAAAAGCTTTTTGTTCACAAATTAAGAGCGGAACAAATAAATTTAAACCTATACTAATTATTTCAATGAAAGATTCTTCAGCTTCAATAAGACATTTGTCTTCAATATTATCAATTTTTGCAACAGGTTTTTTCGGCATATTAGACAAGGCATCCAACAACAGACTTAAATAAACTTCTTGAGTATTTTTATCTACATTTTCTTCTTTTTTGTCCTTAGAATCAACTAAACTGATAGCAGATTCAATTTTAATACTTTTTAAATTTTCGAGGTGTTTTTTACGAATCGATAATGCTTCTTTAATAGCAAAATCATCATCTGATTCACTTGAACTGGGATCACTGCTTTCGTGATAATAATTTTTGTAAGAGGTCCCCCAGCCATCAGCCTCATCTCGATTGTTGACATCACTTCGAGACTTTTGCTTAGGAAACTCCTCTTCGCTAGAAAAAATGTCTTGATTGTCGTCACTCGAAACAAAATTTGAATTTTCAGCTATAAAAAATCAACTTCGTAAAATACTTACATTCACTACCTACATCACTTTCTTGATAATTATCATTTTGATACTTCGAAGAATCATTAATTGACATATTTAAAAATAGATATATCTTAAAGAAATTTTTTAAACGATAGCTTCAATATTTTAACGAGTTTTATTACAGGTTAGAAGACTAAAATTGTCTCTTGAGAAACTTTTATATTTTTGCCAAAAAAAAAACTATTTTTAAATTTATTAATTTATACATTGGCAAATAAAATTCGATATAATAGATACAACGGGCCGTTCTGGGAATCGAACCCAGGACTTCTTGCACCCAAAGCAAGAATCATACCACTAGACCAAACGGCCGTTACTAAACAGTTTTACTTAGATCTTTGAACCAGGTTATTTTGAATCCTCAGAGCGAATTCGATTTGAATTTTTTAACTGAAAAATCGAAAAAAACTAATCGCAGTGATAAAATCCTTTATATTTATTTTTGCCATTGATCTGGTAAATCTAAATCGAAATGCTTGATAAACATGGTCCTATAGCTCAGTCGGTAGAGCGTCAGTCTAATAAGCTGAAAGTCCGTGGTTCGAACCCGCGTAGGACCTCTTTTTTACTATTTGTAAATATTGACTTTTTTATTATGGTGCAACCATAATAAATAAACTATAAACCATGAACCATTTATACAATAAATGAACAAAAGCTGTTTTTTAAATTGTTATTTTATAAATAATGAAGAAGTAGAAGAAACCGACTCTGAAACAGGTAGGATATTGATGGTTCAAATTATTAATTAGAAATCAGAGATTCTGATAATGAAATTGACAAATTTCAAACAGATCCAGATCTTCGTTTGCAACTCAAATCAAACGTTAAACTGTTGTTAGAAAAACTTATTACAAAAGGAGTGATAATAACATGGATAATGGAGGATAAAAAAATTGCGTCCTTGTTTAGATTAGATCCAGAAGGCTCGATAATGATCGTTGTTTCAAACAATTCAACTGATGTACAGGGAGTGAAATTCGCCGTTAAAGATATAATTAGCATTCCACCTATTCCTAAAAAAAAAAACTTAAATGTTGACATCGAAATAAAAGCTAATTTTCAAACTTTATATGGAAAACCAATAAATACATTAATTTTCAACCTGCACAATGATACTTGTCCGCAAATTTTTATTTGTACATTGCAAATATTATACCATATACAAAAAAACTAGATTCCATATAAATATCGATTATTTTAATAATAAATAATTATTGTTACGATAACTAAAGCATTTTTCGAATAATTTCTGTGGGAAAGTTTTTTACTCAGTGTAATGGATAAATTTACTAAATAGACGACAAATTTTTTGTATTCTTATAATATTATGTTGTTTTGATTGAAGTATAAAGATTTTTACATTGCTAATAATAAATGAAAGATGACAATACCTTTCACCACAACTATTCAAACCAAGTCTATACAAAAAACAGACTTTACGGATTATTAGATTGTTACGAATTATTACTAGATCTGCACGATGCTTCTTCAGAGAACAAGCAGAATGAAACAAACAAAACTCAAGAGTTCGTCGATTATCTTAATATAACTCTTGAAAATGCTACTGATTTTCAGAAAAAGATCATATCATACATTATAGTAATTTTCATATTTCGAATGTTAGTTTCGCCACAGTCGCCTTGGTATCCAGAACTCAAAGATTTCCTTACTATTCCTGACTCAGAAAATTTAACAGAATTGCCTTCCAAGGTGTTAAGGTCATTGATAGACTATCAGTTTCAGCAAAATAAAAAAAAAACCAGTCATTTTTTAAAACCAAAGTTTGAGCTCTCCAACAATATCAGCACGCGTCTCACAAACTATCAAACTTCAAACTTGACTGCTACACAAAAACATCATAATCAATACAGAAATACACTTAAGAATTTAATTACTGTGCACGAATATATGAATAAGCGTCAAAATGCCAAACAACTAAAACTTTATAAGGACTATGCTAAAATTATATCGACAAATATTCAGTCCATTTGGAATCTTTGCAGTAACCTTGCAAGCAAATCCATTCATTATAAGCTCGTTGAATTGCAAACAAACGAAAGAATTAAACAACAGAAAAAATGGGTTGAACGAACTACTCGATATACAAATATGTTATGGAAAAAAATAGAAATAACAGAAAAACTTAATGACGATGAACAAGCTGAATTGGAAATGCAAAAAGAAGAAGTCGAGACAGAATTAGAAAACGAACTTGAAGAATTAAATGAGAATGCAAACTTGTCACTAGAAAATATATTATCTCATTATTCAAGTGACTACATTAAAAAAGAAGAAACTAACGAACAAGTTAACACTGTTAATAAACGACGAAGAACGAAACGTAATAAATATTTTAAGAATATGCCTGAAACACAGGAAGCCCACACTAATAAAGTAAAAAAAGATACTTCTAACGAAATACCAGCGTCTGAAGTTTCATGTTTACTCAATTTTACACTTCGACCTTATCAATACGATGGTTTCAAATGGTTATTAACCTTACATAACAGCGGTTTATCTGGAATTCTTTCAGACGAAATGGGTTTAGGTAAAACCGTTCAAACTATAACATTGCTAAGTCATTTAGCTAGTGAAAAAGGAATTTGGGGACCGCATATAATAATAGTTCCATCTTCAGTACTTTATAATTGGCAACAGGAGTTTCTTAAATTCGCTCCTGGACTTAACGTATTTGTATACGCTGGGTCGAAAAAAACGCGAGCTCTTAAAAGACAAGGAATGTACAAAAAATTTGCTTTTAATGTTTTGGTCACCACGTATAAAATTGCGGTACTTGATTCAGCACATTTGCGTCGAATGAGCTACTACTACATGGTTTTAGATGAAGCTCACGTGTTAAAAAATTTCGCCGGAATACAGTGGAACACGATTTTTAGATACAGCTATGTACACAGATTATTACTTACAGGTACACCTTTACAAAACAACCTTATGGAACTCTGGTCGCTGATGTATATGATTATTCCAGAAGTTTTTGGAAATCATGCAGATTTCGACAGAATGTTTAATTCACCATTACTAAAAGCCATAAAGAACAACGAAGCAAACGAATCAATCGTTCAATCAGTGCAACACTTATACTCAGCTTTAAGACCGTTTTTTTTAAGACGTTTAAAGTCACAAGTTGAAAAAGAACTTCCAAAAAAAACAGAACGAGTAGTTCGATGCAAACTCACAAATAAACAGATAAAATTATATAATGATCTGATATCTGCTTATGATAAATCAGCGAGAAACAGTCAAAAAGGTCCTTCAGTTTTGACAAATATGTCCTTAATACTTAATTTGCGACGAGTATGCAACCATCCTTCGCTGATTGAAGAATCTTTTATTGATTCAACTATTTTTTGTAAGCGCCTTCACATCAAGAAAATATTACTTGACTCTCTATATTTCAAAAACAGCTTCAGCACTGATACAAATACACTAGATCGACTAGAAAATAATAGCAAATTTCTTTTAGATAGTTTTGTGCCTATTATTATTAGACGGAACAAACCCAATATTGATCCAAATTTCTTAAAACACAAAGATAAATTTCTTAATCTAAGCGAAAAAAATTTTATTGATGTTAAGAACCCATTACTATTTGATAAAGCTATAAATGAAGAAACATCAACAAAATTTAAAAATTATCATTCAATTCTTACTGATAAACAGTTTAAAGCATCTGATATTAGTTGTAGAACTGTCACTTTCAATGATTTTTTTACTACACACCAAGCGTCTACGTTAACATTTAAATTATTTGAGATAATGCAAGCTGACACTCGACTTTTGCGATTACGAGAGACTGATAAAAATTTTCATGAAGAATATATTTTAACAAGACGAAAATCTATTTTGAGTAATAGTATGGAAGGTTTGATATGTCGTACGGTCGATAATACAACAAATGACATTATTGATTATTTTACAATTAGAGATGATGATGACAAGAATGATAATTTGCAATTTGAAGAACTGATCACAATTAAGCAAGATTTGGCATTCGCAAAAAAGCTCGTGCATAGTCATTTGTATGACGCTAAGCTTAACTTTTTATATATGTTCAAAATTATTCCTCATACTTTACTTTTATTCAAAGGAGCAGAAATCACATTAGGAAACATCTTTGAAAGCTCAATATCCAATCTCTCTAATGACACACAACTCGATTATTTCCACCTTTCTATAATTGACCAATCTTTTGTGAAATCAAACAGTGAAGTAGGAACGAATTCTGATGTATTACATTCAGTTTCGATATTACAAAGCCCAGATAACTTAACGCCACCTAATTTTTTAAACGAATCTATGTCCCCAAGCTCTTTGTACGCGTCGCTTAACATAGGTTCGTCGCAAGATCAACGGGAGGAAAAGCTTGATGATTCCAAAATTGATAGGGCTGTTATCAGCTATCCATTTATGATTGAAACTCAAAAACCTCTTTACCAGCTATTAGAGGAAAATATATTAATTAGTACAGAACCACCTACGTATTATTACAGAGAATTTGATTATTTATATGTGGAATTGTATAGGTATTTGATACATACCAGTGCAGTAAAAAAATTACCATCAGTGAGAACTACGTTAAGAAAAATTTATTTTGACTACTTCCGAGAATTTTTTGATCAACCCACGACAGAATCGAAAACGTCAGTTATTGCTTTTTATTCTGATATTTATAATGAGTTTAATTCTGCCGGATTCGCGATATTAACGTCTATTTCCGACTTCAAGCTTAATAGTGGTAAGATTTTAGAAATGATTAAAATCATAAAAGCGTCGTTGAAAGAAAACAAAAAAATCATTATCTTTACGCAAATGTTAAAGATGTTGCACATTATTGAGATATTTTTAATTTCATACAATTACCGTTATTTGTGTATTGATGGATCTGTTAAATCTAAGCGGCGTCAAGAAATTGTAGACGAATTCAACTCCAATAATCAGGTAAAGATATTGATCGCGACAACTAGAGCTGGAGGGGTTGGAATAAATCTAGTAGCTGCTAGTGTAATCATATTCTACGACACTGACTGGAACCCAGCTATAGATAAGCAAGCCATGGATAGATGTCACCGAATTGGACAGAAACAAAATATCAGTATATATCGTTTGATTGCAGAACACACGATAGAAGAAAATATCTGGCGTAAACAGTTAAAAAAGCGAAAGCTCGACTCGTTGATTGTAGACCACGGTCACTTCAACAAAGATAACTATTTTTCGTTCACTCCAGACGTAAATCCGACAAATATTTTGTTTACGATCGACAAAAATGATGATTTATATGTCACACGTGAACTACACCACACGGAAGACACCGAATATATCAGCAAAAAGATGAATGAAATATTTTTGAATTCTGATATAGTCAATAATATGGAACTCCTAGCGAAAGTAGAAGACGAAGAAGACCAAAAAGAACTTTTCCAAAACATTTCGATTCATCAGCAAAATATAAACCATGATGATACGCTCGACTTATTAGACAACGAAGAATTAACTCAGTCGCCACAGAGTAAAAATGATGAGGAACATTCTATCAAAGCCGAAAAAGTTTACACACAAGATAATCACGATTATCACATCAGTGATAAACACTCTGTGTCTATATGCAGTTTATTCAACGATAATACAGTTTATTTATTAGAAAAGCAAATAACCAAACAAATTTCAAATCAATATTATAAATTAAATTTATAGGCGACTATCGAAATTGGGCTGCTTTAAGCTTTGATATATATTTGTCTGTAAATTAAATAGCAAATATGTAAAATAAATATTGTGATCATAAAAGTAATTGAGCTGACAATTACAAAGTGTGGAGATCTAATTATAAATTTTTTTTATAATAACTTACACTTCATTACTAAAAGATTCGTGACTGTTAGCGCTAATGTATCTAGATTGGGGCTTAGGTTCTTGTTTTGCGTTCACAAATGTTCCTCGTCTTTGAGCACCAACTTTCTCGGCATTGACGTTTTTTCCTGACATTGTATAAAATTAAATATCTTTGAATTCGAATATTTCGTAATTGTTGCTTATATCGTTTTTCAATTTATTTAATTTCTTACTATATTAATTAAATACATAATAAATCAAATAATTTTAGTATATTCTAAATAACCAGTTAAGTATTGTATTTAACCGGTTATATCTCTTAAAAATGATAATCGAAGTTTGAAAATTCGAAAATTTTAGTTTATTATATGATTTCAGTGTATTTACATAGTACTTCTTAATTTAAAGTTACGGTAATTTTCAGTGCAATGCAAAATGATGGTTGGTTGGAAATAAAATGTGAAGATAATGAATCGACTTGTATCAAAAAAAAACTAAAAATTCAGAATGAAAACCAATGGCTCCAAACTTGTGTGAAGTTTATTCATACGAGTATTCGAAAAGCAGCCAGCATAAACAAACTGACTAGCGGTAAGTTCGATAGTGAAAATATTTCGAAGAATATCAACGTATTTTAACTCGTATAGCCGTAAACCCAAGTAACGTTAAAAATTTGCTGGTTGCAATCAACGAAATCAAAATATCCAGTTTGTCGTTGAGTTTTTTGTATGCAACATTAGAACGAATTGATTCTGTCAGTTTTTTTTCGCATCCTGAGTTCGAAACTGTTTTTGTGGATTTGGGTGAGCTTGTGATTTCTATCACAGCCAGTATACAATTTTTTTTAAACGAAAAACTGGATGTTTCTTTGTTCATATCCGTGACTAAACAAACAAGAGAAAAATTAGGTTATGTTTGTTTCAATTCAAACTATAACAACGTATTAGTGATGTGTATATTGCATATTATGGAGAAGGTTGAAATGGTGGACGCCTTGTTTCACGAAATTGTAAAAATCATGCAGTACAGCTTGAGTTGTTTCGACTCGCACGAATTAACGGACAAGGTCGCAATTATTCATGAAATTAAGAATAAGTCGAAAGTGGTTCCCGTTCTAAGTCAAGTTCAATTTTTTTTTTTACTTACTATTTATTACAAGTTGTATGGTTCCGATACTAAATCTGCAAAATGCTACAAAGATTTGGTGAGAAACTACATTGAAGACATTGAAAATTGGATTTCGAAAGGAGAAAGTTTGCTGGACATTTTTGCGTATCCATTAAAGAACGTTTACTTGTTTTATGAGTTTTTGGTCATCGTCAAAAGAACAAATAAGAAAATTTATAATTGGCTATCGTACAAAATACGGATCTATTTCATAGAAATATTAGAAGACGAGTTGATAGAAGAAGTTTTTTATTCTGCTATTACACTTTATTTTTCGCTAAAGTTGTCTCAATGTTCAAGCAAGTATTACGACACTTACGATCAAGTTTTAATATTTTATGACTTACTCGAAAAAGTAAAATTCGGTATTAACACTGAAGGAAGCAACAAAAAAATTTTTCAAACAATACTGGACGCGTTTGCCACGTTGTTTTCCACGCGATTCGAAATTAGTCTCAACGATTTTCTCAATTTAATGACGAATTCGTTGATAACACTAATTACAACAAAAAACTGCCGAAACTATTTGTTTTGTAAGCAAATTGAGATTTTTATTAAGTTTGTGAGCGATACATGGTTGTTTTTCGGGTCACCAGAAGATTTTATTACGTGTTTTATGAAGATTTACGTGATGAATGAGACTCAGGAGTCAAAATTGAAAGACAGTTTCGACAAGTTGTTCGAGTTAAGATTAAAAAACCACGAATATGACAAAGAATTTTACCAGAAGTTTTTTATATATGCCATCCGTTTTAATGAATGTTTATTGAATACTGAGTTAAACGGTATTTCTGAAAAAATAAATCAACGGTTGTCTATTCAGGAAATAATGCGAGGATCTAAAAAGAACCCAGTAGCCTCGAGCTATTCGTTCTTATTTTCGAATGAAAAAATGTCTAACTGGTCGACATGTCAACAAATCCGATGCTTGTTTAAAGCATACAACATTATTTTCGTTATTTCTTTGCTAACTAAAATGAACTTAGAAAAGCTTTCCGAAACAAACAATTTGCAAAATGAATTATGGAAGTTGTTTATTAATATAATAAAAAGTTTTTGTTCGTCTTCTGGTTCTAAATATTCCATTTACAATTTAGAGATTTTGATTGAAGATCGAATAAATTTATATTTGATAGACAACAATGAGGCTTATAATTTTAAGTTCTCAAAAGAATGTGAGATAAAAAAAGGGGATAAACTTATTAATATTTTAGTTCCCACTATTGATTCATTGTTAAATCATACACAATGTACTTTGAAACCAGTGCATAAAAATGATTTTCCAGGACTTATTTTGAAAATAAATGATGAACACAAAATTTATTTGTCTACTTTGGATTCTGTTCTAAATTTTTTTTGTTTACTTGTGCAGCATGTCTACGAAAAACTTAAGGATGATACAAAAACATTCTCGATCAAAATAAAAACTTTGTGCTTCAGCAAAATCATAAAAAAAATAATTGATAACCTAATTGGTGTTAAAGTTATTAGCGAACTCAATTTTCTTTACAATTCAACAGATAGTTTAGATGAGTTTGTGTATTTCAATCATATAGAAAATCTGACTTCAATATTTTATAGTAAAAAGAATAACGACTTCTATGTTGTTTCGAGTTCGACGAGCATGAACCTCACAAATCTGTACAATAAATTGACGGCGTCAAAATTTTTGATTCCAGTTTCTAGTAATTTAATTTGTTATTCCATTTCAGCACTTGTTAAAATGGAAATTGAGATGAAACTGCTATTTTGGACGACCCTATGGCGTCTTGCTAGAGTTGAAGAATTGTTTTTTGATCTTTCACTTGTTTCTATAACAGATCAGAATGTAGAGCTTGACGACTTTTGTTTATTAAAAAAAGAAAAATCAGATAATATGGAACTAGTTGTTGAAGATTTAAACTTTTTGTTTTTGCACTGCAAAGAGAATACTATTAAATTATTGGATCTCAGCAATTTTGTCGAATGGTGCTTGGTTTATTTGCTAATTGTGACTAGTGAAATCAGCTTAGTAAATAACATACTGTATTATTTTTGCGGCGGACTTCAATATGTTTCAAATAATTTGAGAAATGCCGTAGAAAAGTACTATTTCAATCTTGAATTTTTTATTGCTACTGATTTCGTGGACCATGATATAGACAAAGACATAAAAAATTTGATCAATTCGCTTAATTTGTTGCTGAAACAAGACGAGGAGTTTCAGATACATTCTGAACATTTAGATTTGTCTAAAAGCATACTAGATAATTTCAAAAAACAAAAAAAATACTTAAATAAAATCATTGATTTTTCATTGAAACCGCTGGGTCTATTGTCTGATACTAAACTTGTGAGCATAAAAAATTTGGAAAGTATTGTGTCGTTTTGTAAACCGTCTGCGGACTTAAGCGTGGTTGATTATTGCTTTCAGGTTTTTGAATTGCAAGCTAAAAGTCTTAATAACATAAAAAGGCAATGCCAGATAAATGCTGATGAAGTTTTGGATAACTCTGAAGAATTAAGCATCGTCAGTTGTAGTGAAAAATTAATCAACACTGGCAGTGAAAACGACAACTCTTTTGGCAACTTGAACAATACATTCAGAAGGTCCACCAAAAACCTGCTGTCGAATTTGTATCGAGAACTAAACTTTCTATTTAGTGCTCAGGATTCATTGCTTGAATTGATAAAATCTTCAGAATACCAAAATGAGAGACGAAAAGTCTTAAATAACAAAACCGGTGCGGGTCCAATGATGCAAATAGCAGATGAAATAAATTCAAATGTGGTTCTTTTGCAAGGCTTGGCATACCGTATAGTCCTGTACACGATTCTTTACTACAAGTTGTGTTCTATTCTAGGTATCAATTCTCATAACTATAGCGTTTCGGCCAGTATTGGGTTGATTTACTGTTTATCAAAATACATTCATCTTTTAAACAATGAGGTTCAAAACATTCATAAATTGTTAAACAGCGAGTACTGCACTACGATGTTTGGATTTTATGTAGGGAATTTGTGTGATTCACTGATTTGCGAAGAACCTACTGATCTCGCTTGCAAGAAATTTTACACATTGGTAATTGAAACTTGTTTAAAAAAAGCGTTTAATTTGACGTGCATTCGTTTGTTACCTTACACAAATAAAAATAAAACTCCCGAATACTTAAAGAAAACGGTGGCACAAATTCTAAAGGTAGACTCTTACGTCGAAATAAATAAGACTTGTAACGTTCTTAATTACCTTCTCACGAAAAAACCATTAGAAAAAGAAAAAGAGATAGTTTTTAACGAAAGTGACGTTCGAGCATTATCTATTAGTTTTTATAATTTATCAGAGCTGAACTATTTTCCTTCGTTTTTAGACCATGATATAGACCTATCTACCTTTTCGATTTTGCGACTAGATAAAAAATTAGATATAATTCATTCGGCCAAAACGAAGCCGCGAGTGATAAAAGTTTGGTTGAAAAACGGTTACTGCAAAAAAGTACTGATTAAAGGAGGAGAAGATGATGTGCGGCAGGACTCCCTTATACTAAGAAATGTGGCTTATCTGCGAATTGTTACAAACGAAAAACATTTGGGAACGTACAACATAGTACCCGTGAATTTTTCGTTAGGTTTAATTCAGTTTTTAGACATGTGTATTTCGCTCAAAGACAGTATAATTAAAAAAAAAGATTTAAAACTCGTAAACACATTGAGAACAAAACTCAACCTGGCAAATGAAACTAATATTGATAAGTCTTATGCTGAAGTATTGACGAGTTTCGTTCCAAACATAAAAAAACAGTTTTTCGTCAAAGAATTCCGAATTCGAAGTCATTATTATCAGGCTATAAGTGAATTTCTGTCGAGTTTTTCAGCTTGGAACGCTATATGTTACGTTTTTGGAGTCGGAGATAGACATATAAATAACATCATGGTTTCGAAGTTGAACGCACGTTTGATCCACATAGACTTTGGCTATATATTTGAATTGTCTAGAATATTACTTGTTCCGGAGCTGATTCCGATAAGAGTGACGAGAATGTTCACAAGTTTGTTTACGTCAGAAGAAATAATAAACCAATTGACGGTGCAAATCACGAAACTGAAAGCAGAATCAATATATATTACTTTTCATATTAACACGTTGAAATCTTATTTACAGAATTCTAGCCAGTATAAAAAGATAGATTTGAGAAAAGCTATAAACCGAATAAGCGAGAAATTAAATCAAAAAGAATTCCTATTACACGGTTTGCTCAGTCAAATAACCACACCATACACCGAGCGGGAGAGAATGCATATTTCTCGTTTGATCGGTAAAAAAATAGACATTAAAAGTCAAGCAACAATAATTTATTCGATCAGCACAGACAACTACCTACTAGCTCGAATGTATAGCGGATGGCTTGCTTTTTGTTAACAAGCAAAGCTCCTTAATGAATTTCAATTAAGAAATAGTTTATTTCAATTTTAAGTCCCATAAGTAGTAAAATACCATTATACAGAGAGGCTGGCCAGTAAAACAAAAGAGCAGCCAAAACATGTAATTTCCAAAGACGGAATTTTTGTTGAAAAACTTGAAATTGTTCATTGCAGAAAGCGGCGCCTGGCAAATGAACGCAAAAACTATTATGCCAGTCCAATCAAATCTCAAGCTTCCACAAATTATAAATTCGTGGAACAGTGCAGAAACAATGAAAACAGTTTGAGCGGCTAACAATCTTGGCAAACCAAAACGAATCAGTGGCTTGTAAATATGGCGGTAGCAATAGTTATGAACTGGCAAGTTCCACTTTCGCCAGTAGTCCGCAATAGAGGTTGCGTTCCACCAATCTTCGTAAAACATATGGTCACCAAAACTCGTAATTTCTGCTACTAAACTTAAGAAACAATGGAAAAAAGCCAAGAACATAATTAACCAACAGTAAAGCGTTGGGATAGAGATGTGTAGCAGTCTTTCAAACAAATAAAGTTTGACAGAATTGATTGAAAGAGACGACTTGTCTAGAAATGTGGATTCTAGTACAGTTAAGATATACCTTTTGTAAATAACTGATAATGTTGACAAGCATAAGATCAAAAACCCTGTGTGCCAAAAAATGTTTACAGGTACGATTTTTTCGTTCATTGGATAATCATATTGATAACATAGCGTTGGGAACGACATAAATTGTAAGTAGTTTTTTAAACTTAAGACATGAGGAAACTCAAGTACTTTCGAAGCTTCAAAATAGTCTGGAATACATTCTAGTATAGGAATCCTTTTCTCTTTTTTTTTGTAAACTTTTCGACCGCGTTCTTCAGATCGCTTTTGGTCGACTTGGAAATTATACTGTATTTCGAAGTTATATACTTTGCGAGTTTCAGTCAAGATTTGTGCGTACGAAAATTCTTTTAATACAATGATAGAAGCTGTCATCAGCAGAAACAAATTCTGAAGTGGCCGAAATGGACCATATTTCACTGCTTGATTGATGGCAATCAAAGTAGATAAATATAAAGTAAAATTAAAAATCCAGTACAACGCTTCAAATTTCGTGATTTTGTACAAAGAAAACATGTCATTAACAGTTTTAATTGAATGCTTACAATTCGCAGTATTGGAACTGTTATCGGAGTTCTTTAGTTTTTTGGAGTAAGTAGATTTTATAACGTCGATACAACTTTTATTTCTCTTATAAAAAACTATGTTTATGGTGTATTCTAGCAAAAAAACAGCCAGCATCGACGTTAAGATTAAACCTAGACCGGTAACAAAGTAGACATTTACCTGAAATAATTCTTTGAACAATTTTGGTACCACTTGTCGAATTGCAAGACCAGACTCTAATAAACTGGAAATCAACTCCCGAAAGCTCGTTGCAATAAAAATAATTACTAGTAAGTTTGCTATTCCGTTGACATTTAACTTATAAATACTTGATGTTAAATAAGAATTTCTGATGAAACTGTGGTAGCGAGTTGAACAACTTTCCATTATCTTTATAGTTGTTTTGCTAAGTAATATTTAATATTTCTACATCTAAGTTAGGCAAACTAGATTAAAATACCAACTTTAGACTTCAATCTGAATAAAATAATTTCCTGTGGTTTCTAATATCAATAATTGACACAACCGTTTACTTAAAAGGTTTTCCTTATCGCTCTTACACTTCTTGAAAGTTGCGATTTAATTAGCGCTTTTTTTTTTTTGGATTTTTCTTCCGACAATTCAATATTTGTTGTTTTATTATTAATTTTTTGATTACTGTCAACTAAGTTAATATATGCGTCTCTAATCTCTTCATTTAATTTATTATTTTTATTATTAATCTGTGTCGAATCTACATGTAATTTTTGAAAATTAGGTTGAAAAAAGCTTATATGGCTACGTTTTAAAACGGCCAAGCTTTTGTCAGTAACAAGTGAATTTTCTACACATAACAAATAAAATAATTTCTCAGTGCTAATATCGTATAAACTTCGATTTATAACGACGTATCCATTGCTGAGTTGTAAAGAAAGTGTATCGGTGTTCGAATTTATATTCATTTCTTTGATAAAGTTTTTATTTTGTACGAACAAATCTTGAACGTTCGTAGCGTTATCTGAGTTTAGTGAAAAATATGATTCAGAACAAATGTTCCATTTATCGCTCGCATCGTAGCTTTTCATAAAATTACTGATGGTTTGCCAGCTTTGGTCAATCAATGACATAGAATCAATTGAGATATAAGCTAGAATACTCTCAATCAGTAAAATAGTAGAGACTTCATCCATTTCAAAAAGGTAATTTTTAATAATGTTTGTTTTTGCCGCCGTGGTTGCATTTGTCGATTCGCCAATCGCTTCATGTTTCTTTATTTCATCACGTAAATTTGATTCATTTAAAGGTATTCTTAAATTATTATCTTGATCCGTTTTATCTTCACTAATTTCAAGATCTAAAGTAGGTTGTGTCAGATTGGTTAAATTTTGTCCGTTCTTTTGGACCAGCGTATTAGACGAATGCGACTGAAAATTATCTTCACATTCTTTATTATTAAAATCTTCATCTCCTAGATTGTCTACTATTTCTGCTTGAGTTAACTGATTTGATTCTGTCGAGAGTTGAACTTGAGTTTCGTTATTTTTATTTTCAATACCAGTTTCGTTGTATACTTGACGTTCAGTAATTTTATCAGTTCTATTCAAATAAACTTTAGGATCGTCTATGGAAAGGGGCACGAGTGAAAGAGAAGTAACTTCTATTTCACCTGGAGGTGGCTCGTAAATCAAATCAAGTACGTGTGTACAGTCGGCTTGATTTTTTTCTTCAAATTCATCGTTATCATGCCATAACGTTGAATCAACAGTCTCTTTCTCGTTTGTTCCATGGGTGTTTGTAACTATGTTAATTGGTAACAGAACCAAAGTAGAAACAGCTGTAATGCAGTTTACACTGGTTATTATCATACCAGAAGCAACATCTGTTTTAGATTCTGTATATCCTTTGCCTTTTAAAACAAGAAAGATGCGTTTAGGATTTAAATCCAACGATTCATTGGTTAACTTAATCATATGTCCGACCCGAATTGATTCTTTGTCAACCTGGAAAAAGCTAGATATATGCTTTATTATTTTAGAATACTTTTTGTGTTTGAAAGGAGAGAACAAGTTAAACGATGACTTTTTGGGTAGTTCAACTTTTATCTGTCCTAGTATTGTATTTTTTTCTTTGAATTCGTCAAAATCTTCATCGTGAAACAATTGTGTAAGCTCGGCGTAGTGGTTGGTCACTATGTCTTTCGGAAAATTATATTTAATGAATTCATCATCACTTTTAACACTTGACTGTATAGACATGCAGGAGTTTGACGAACTACTTAATATTCCAGAAGCATGATCCGAGTCTTCATGATCCAATTTGGACATCTCTGCTGCTAAAATCTGCTTTTTCTGCAACAACGCTTGAACCTCGTGTTCTGACACTTTTTGTTTTTTCTTCAATTTATGCCGATTGGTCTCAAGTTCTTTGACTTCATCTGATAAATGTTTTTTTGTCGACTTTGCTTCATCAATAGACTTAGTCGCGTCTTGAATCAAAGTTCGAAGTTGATTAATTTTCTCACTTTTATCTAAGTTGAATCTGTTTAAATTGTCTAGAATATTTTTTTTCACTGCGTATTGTTCTTCGAGCTTTTGAACTTCTTTGTTTAGTTCTTTTTCGTCTTCATTTAACGTATCAATTTGAACCTGGATTAATTCATTTTCTTCAGTTAACTTATCAATATACTTATTCGTACTTGCAAGTCTTTGAGTTATAAGCTCAAGAATCAAATTAGATGATTCTTTGTCCGAATTCGAAAATTTTTGGTATCTTATCGCCAACTTTTTCAGAAGTTCGCGAATTTGTTCGATAACTTCCGGCGTGATATAAATTAGTTTGTCGTTTAACTGTTGCATCATAGATCTATCAGTTTCGTCTTTTTGCGGTATTGCAATACTGTAACTTTTTCGTTCGAAATTACCAATCACATCTTCTAAGAATAAGTTATTGACGACTTCGTCTTTGTCGATTATTATGGAACTATCGTGAACCTGTTTTTGGTTTGTCTCCTGTATTGCAGAAGAATCTGTGGATTGTTCTATAAACTCAGTTATATATTTATTGAGTGTTCGTAAATAAAAGTTAGTTAATTCGATGTCTACGATTCCAATCAAATTAGTTTTTTTTGTTGCTAAAAATTTATCAAGTTTTTCATTTTTTGCTCGTTCTACGTGATAATCAACGTCGTATTTTTGCCATTTGTAAGTGTCCTGCAACCATTCTTGGTAAGAATCATATAGTTCTTTCGGAATTTTTTTATATCCCGAACCATCTGAAACGTAAAATGTAAATATCGACAGTCCATTGTAAATTTGTGGCAATGCATTTTTCTTGGAATCTAACAAACTGACTAAATTTTTAATGATTTCTGGAAGTTTCATATCGACTACAACGTTGCTACCGGCGAACTCAGAAAAACTGGGGCTATCAGTTGTAGGGCACAGTATAGGGAAGGTTGAATCTTCGAAGATTGACTTAATTGCATTTATTGACTCTTCTCGGAGGGTAAGAATTTGGTTTGCAAGGATTGTCGAGATGTGTCTTAAAAGTCTGGAATGCTTTTTATAATTTTTAGAAATTTTCTCTTTAACCTCATTTGTGGTTAGCGTGAGTTGTTCGTTTATCTGCATAAGCTCGACTGAAGTGACTTTTTGTGGTGAAATTCGAACATTACACAAATGAAGTATCAGATACTTCAAATAGTTTTGAAAAATCAACGGATATTCGTCTCCAAATAAAACCAGACTCGACTCAATTTTCGAAATGTATGAATCCACGGACTGAAGTAGCTCGTCTCTGAATTCGAGCGTAATTTTTTTTTGCGAATTAGAGTGTTCACTAAACAATCGATTTTGCTTTGCGATGAGCGAAAAAGTTGTTTTTATAATTTGTGAATCCATGCTAGAAGAATCATCGTTCATTTTAGCTTCGTCATCAACGTCGTCATTTGCTAGATGGACGTCCGTAGACTGCTGAACCTTAGTTATTTGCCTATTTTGTTTTTGTACGGTGTAGTTAGACATACGATTTTCATTGTTCGGATCGAGATCAAATAAAGTTTTTACGGGTAAAAAACTTTAGATTTCTACCATCAAAAAAAATAAAAGATAATTATAAAAAATATTAAAATATATTAATTATTTATCGGAACGAAAAAAAGACTATCGAAACCATTTTTGCAAGATTTGGATAAAAGAATTTGTTTACTACATTGCAAACGCTATTAGTTTGTTTGAGTAAATGGTTTAGAAAAATGAACGATTATGAATCGGAATTGGAAACTAATCCTTTTGAAATAAAAGTTGGATTTGTTTCTTTGCGAGACGAAGACCCGTTGTTGCGTGTGTTTGAAATTGGAGACAAAAAAGACGTCGAAAAGCCAAATGCTATTGATGATATACTGGGAAATACGGAAAGAATCGTAGATGAATATCAGTTAGACGAGAAACAGCAGGAAAAATTAAGGAAAATAGGAAAAGTGGGGATCGAAAGATACAAGAACAACTTGATTTCTAAAATAAATTTGAATAACAACATAAAATCAGGCGCAAATTCGGAATATTTAGTTGGCGATTTCACCAAAGAACGTTGTTGGGTTGACACGCGAAGCAAAAGTTTGCAACACGGACGTTTCACTCAAGCCGAAGATCAAAAGCTGCGAGACGCAATATATAAGTACTTTGAAGATAACGGATACACGGAACAAGAAGGATGGGATGAACTCTGCTTGGTGAATCGACGTAATACCAATTTGGCTTCGCCTTGGCCCGCGATATGTTCAGTTCTGCCGCACCGACATATGGAAAGTTGTTTGACACGCGCGCAGGCTCATTTGTATCCTTGGCCGAAAAAAGGAAAGTGGTCAGAGCCGGAAAAATGTTTTTTAGTAAAAATTGTCGACGACTACACTGCTAATAACGGAACTAAAATATCGTGGCCCAGCGTTTCTCGAATTTTGGTTCGGTATCACAAGCATTGCCGTGATATGTATCAATATCTCAAGTCTACAAACCAAATCAACTATTATCGTGGCTTATCGGACAAGTATCTTGACAACGAAAAAATCAAAGATGAGTTTCAAAAAGATTACTACATTACCCGAAAAGATAACATAGCTTGGACAAAAGAACAAGAAGAGAAGTTGCTAGCAGAAGTGCGAAAATGTACAGGGCTGGAGTGGCCGATTTCCAATATTTCATGGTCTAAGGTTGCGCTCGCAATGAATGGGATTGCTCCGCAGCAGTGCCGCGTACGCTATCTCGACCACATGATTGGAAAACAAGGCCCGGTCAGTAATAAAAGTTTGCTTTTCAAGCGCCAAATTATTCGTCACTTGTATATTATTCTGGAACATTCCCCAAACATCACTTGGAACGAAATAAATTGGGAATGTTTGCCTAAACTGTGGACTAAAAACTACTGTTCCAACGCTGCGAAAAAAATTTTGTCGAATCATTTAAATCTTAAGTCAACTACAGATTGGGATGTATTGATTTTTCAGTCTGACCACTGGAAACAAGCGATTCGAGCACTGTACGAAAAATTTGAGTGTGCAAAACATGAATCAGAAGACGCAGCTATAATAGAACTTACTACGAAGCTTTTAGACAATGGGAAAACCAAAATGAAAATTCTTAAGTCTGATGACGTTAACAGCATTTTAAATTTAGGAGACCAGAACGAACAATCTAGTACTAATGACAATGTCGTTGTCGAAAAAAGAAAACGAGGACGGCCAAGAAAAAAACAATCTGCAAACGAGAATGCTGAAGGGTTACAAGTGAAGAGTAGATCTTTTCAGAAAACTGAAGATTCAACCTTTAACGTTAACGAACTTAGTCAATCTAATAATTCTGAAGAACGTGCTTCAGAATCGCTGATGAAGAGTGATAAAATAGTTAGAGAATTGAAGTTAGCGAATTTGGAGGAACAAAAAAAAACTAAATTTGTGGGCAAGCGTATAAAGGTGTCTAAAACCGATAAGTCAAATTCGCAAGTCGTTGATAATTTATTGAGATCGATTGGTTCACCAATGGGTAGAAAAACGTCTAAGGTTAAAGAAAAGACGAGGGTCGGTAAGGACAAAGAAAAAAAAGAAACTGGTAAAGTAAACGAAATGAAAGAATCTAGTAAATCTAAAGACAAAAAAGAAGATATTGAGTTTAAAGAGAAAGACGAGATTATTCTTGTTAATATGAAAAAGGAGAGCATTAAGGCTGAAGAGAAAAAAAAAAATAGTAACCCAAAAGTTAAAGAACAAATTGATGAGGTCAACTTTAAATTTGAAAACGATAAAACGAAACTTCAAAAAAAGGCCAGCACGACTAAAATCAAAATTGCCAAAGCTACAACAAAGGATAAAGAGCAAAGTTTCGAATCAGACTCAGGTTCCGAGTCACCGATAAAAATGTCGCCTAGCGAAGAAAAATCTAGCGAGAGTCTCGCTGGTTCTGATGTAGATAGTTCAGAGGAAGAAACAGATGAAGACTTGAGTATATTCTCAAATATGCTTGGTATTGCATAAATGTAACGTCCTGTATCGCTTTATTGTATATTATAACCCAAACAGTAGATTTTAATGTGCTGAAAATTGCGTTGCATGTTACGTACCAAGAGAAACAGATATTAGTGTATTGGCCATATATTTAAAGTTTTGAACAATGAGCAAGTCAAAAATAAAAAAAGATTTCTCGCTGTTTCAGTTGGATTACAGCCTTTGGATTCCTGGAAGTAAGTTTCGCAAAAAAAAAATTGTAGACGTCTACATCAACACAAAAGATATTATCGAAAGCAAGCGTCAAAAAAAATTAGAAAAAGAACTAGAAACGCAAAAAGCGCTCGAAGCTCAGGAACAACTAGGTTCTGGAGCAGAACGAACATCCGAAATCAACAGTCTTAATAAAGAAATCAAAACAGACGTAGAAGTACACATTGACACAAAAGATCCAATATTTAAGATTATTAACGATAAGCTTGCCAACAAAGAAATAGTCTCCACAAAGGATGGAGTCAAATTTATCTATTCACTGGGTTTGCCGTTATCGATGAGCGAACTGGAAATATTGAAATCAAAGCACAAGAAAACAATACCCACATCAGAAATAGCTCAGCTAATAGCTGCAAAAAAAGCAGAAGCGGTTAACGCAGCAGAGTTGATCGAAGCGTTCGAAGCAGTAGATGCGAACCGTTTAGGCAAACTGTCGTACTACACAATCAAATGTGTGCTCATGTATGGCGTTGAAGGTCTCAGCACCGAAGAAGTTAATCTGCTGCTGAAATCTTATGACAGTCAAGAACTTATCGACTATAAAGCGTTGGCAGAACGAATCATCGGCAGTAATAACGAGGCAAAAAAAGTCTTGTTGGCTGCGGAAGCTATACCTGATTAATTTCAGCGGTAATTAAATCATAAGCTTTTTAACATTTAGTTAAGTTTAATATATATAAAATCAAAAAACTGTTGCAGCGCATTTGTTGCGGGTGGAAAATTTGAAGCTTGAATTTTATATTTTTTACATGGTGAAAACTCAGAAATTATTGTATAGTGAGAAAACATTCGCCGAGTCCCAGATAAAACCGAAAATAATTCAGGGTTTAAAGCTCTATGGTGTTAAATATTTGACTAAAGTGCAAGAAAAAGCACTTCCAGCTGTGTTTGAAAGGCAAAACTTGTTGCTTCAAGCGTCCACTGGCTCAGGAAAAAGCTTAATTTTCATCATTGCAGTGTTGTCACGTTGTGATCCATCGTTGAAAAAATTGCAAGGCGTGATAGTTTCTCCGACCGTCGAGTTAGCTGACCAGACAGTAGCTGTTTTAAAGTCTATTGCAGTTTTTTTAAAATTCAAAGTCGCTTCTGTGTTGAAGGAGGACACCGATAAGAAAAAAAAAACTTCACCAGAGGAGAGAAACGGTCAAATATTGAGTACTACACCAAAAAGATGTTTATTGCTTATTAATCACGGCGTGCTTCAACCCATGTTTCTGAAATGCTTAGTTTTCGATGAAATAGACCAATTATTGTCAAAAGGAATGTCGAAACACTTGCTTCTAATTTTAAATAAGATAAGCGATAAAACGCAAAAAATCTTTGTTTCTGCAACGATGACAAAAGAAGTTAAAGAACTTTCCGAAAATTTTTTGGTAGATCCTTTGGTTGTTACGACAGAAACAGACAAGAATACATCGATTGACGTAAATATTAAACATTATTATGTAGTTGTTAAAGGTTTTTTGTACAAGACGAATAGCATTATTGAAATACACAGACAAACACCGAATAAGTCGACTTTGGTGTTTTGTAATTCTCGAGAATCAGTTATGAAGTGTGGGAAAAATTTAATGAATAAAGATTTGAAAGTGGCCCTGTTACACGGTAAACTGGACTTAAGCCAGCGCATCCGGATATTGTCAAAGTTTCGAAAAAGCGAGATTGAAATACTTGTGACGACAGATATGTGCTCGCGAGGGTTAGACATAGCGCAAACATCGCTTGTAATACATTTCGATTTACCGGGTTCTATCGAATCGTATATTCACCGAGCTGGTCGTTGCGGCAGGTTCGGACGAAAAGGGAAAAGCATTATTTTTGTAGAGCAAAGCCATTTAAATGAATTTCATATGTTCGCAAAAAAAATCGATTTTGAAATTGAATTATTAAACAAGACCGACATTTAAGCCGTAAGTTTTTCGACTTTTTGTCGGTTTTCTAATTTAAGCTTTTGCATTTGTTCAGTGGTAGGGATCAAATTCAAGAAGAACAGTGGAACTGTAGTTAGCGAGGCACAAACCAGAATGAATGTGGATAAGTTGGAATAATCTTCCTGCGTTATTTGGAACCCCCAGATTCCAAGACTGCTAGTGATCTTACTGATAGCTGTTCCTAAATGTCTAAGCGAAATTATGATAGAATAAACGGTACCTTCGAGTTTCTCTGGGCAAATGTATGAGACGAATACCAAAAGCGGTAATAATTGTATTTCCGCTACTGCTTCAATTAAGAACCCACCAGAAAGCACAAAGACTTCGTCTGATATTCCCATTTTTCGGTTTAATTTAGTGACGAGCAGCCAAGGCGAAGCGTATATCGGAAGATTAATAACGGTAGTCCAAAGCAAAACCGACTTGTAGCTTTTGGTGGCCATAAATGTTTGATATACGAAAATTCCGAGTAATGCGGCGATACCATACGTCAATCTCAAAGATCCCATAAACGTCGGGGAGAAATGTAGCCTGTTTGTGTAGTAGTAAAACAACGCGTCGTCGTAGTCAGGACCAGACATAAACAGTAAAATAAAAATAGCAGGCCCGTAAATTTCAGGTTTATTAAGGAACTCAATAAGCCTCGACAAGTTTTCTCTGAGCGTGGCGTACGTTTCGTGGTTTGCAGTGTCCGTTCTCATTTCAGTCATGAGTATCCCACACAGCGTTACAAAAATTGGAAATATGCTGGTAAACACGAAGATTTGTTTCTTTGTGTATACTTCGAGTAAACTTCCGCTCAAGTAAGATACCAGTAATGAACCAACAGCTTTGGCTCCAATTAATTTTGAAACATTTAAACTGGCACTTCCAACAGAGTCAGACTCGTCTAAGCGTGTTTTCTCCACGACAAGTGCTTCGCAGACGGTACAGCAAATGGCAGAAGAGAAAGAAATCAATAGCAGTGCTCCACCAACACTGTAAATATTGGTAAAATTTTTAGCTAGCATGAGGTATCCGAGACTTTGGATTATTCCGAATAAAATTAAATAAGGTTTGCGCCTATATCCAAAGATTGGAATAGCATCGGAAAAGAATCCGAGCGCTGGTTTTAAAAACCAAGGTATGGCTGGAAACATGAGTATAAAACTCATAGCGGCAGGACTGAGCTTCATGTCATCTTTTAGCAAATAATAAATTGCTAATGATGCTAAATGAGTCAATCCATCTGTGATCCCGACGATATATATCAATGAATCCATTGGGGACGGCAACACTTTGTTAACCATATTGACAAAACTATTTACAAAGCCAATAGATCTATTTTGAATGTTCAAGTCTTGTAAAAGTTGAGAATTTTCTTCAATCGGATCATGCAAATCGCCAGTAGGAATTGCAAACCCAATGGCAAGATCTTGGATGCTGAACAGCGCCCTTGCAGAATTTCTCGCCATAATACATTTGTTATGTTTTGAAAGCTTATGTTAATAGCAGCTTCCGAATTAGATAAAAAGCTGCTTGAGACCAATTCAAGAAAGAATATAATTGTGCTATGAGTAAATGAACTATTACCTTAGATAAGTTGGTGTATTTAATTCTTTTTTTGTATAAATTTATTATATAATGATCAATTTTTATATTTGATCGAAATTAGTTTGCTTGGTTTTAAGATTAGTTGGTATGAGGTTATAGCGACGGAAGTTCAATTTTCAACTAAAAACGTTGTTGTTAATTATAACTTGGAATAATTGATAATGTGAATCATTATAAAGCGACTATTGGAGCGCGTTGCATCCAAGCAATTTTGTTACTTATAAAAATAAACTAAAGATGAATGAGTAAACATATCTTAGTCAAACATTGATTTTGTAAAATTGTCAAGAAAATGAGGTTGATATTTATGTGAGGTAATTTCACTAATGCTTTCCGCAAAAATTTCATTTTCCGTTTTTAATATTCTGGAGTGTCGATGGCTATGAGGAATAGCGCTGAAGATGTCAGCAAATGAATTTCTCATCTGCAAATTATACATTGAGTCGTCTCTTAATAGCGAATACCTGCTTGATGCAGTGAAGTCACGAGAGTGAAACGATGCAGAACTTGTTAAATCGGTCGATAAACGAGTTTTTGGTGAATTACAGCCGTAAATATCGTGCTGGATTGGATTACGCTCTTGCCAATATGCGTACAAGTTTTGATGTAAGTCAAAGAAATTTTGGCTATAGACCATGGACTTTACGGCCAGTTTCGAGTGAATGTCGAAGAATAATTTGTTGAATTCAGGAATCATCCAAAGTGAATTTAAAGGTTGAAGCATGAGACGGAGTGTAAACTGGTTGGACTCATTCATTAGCGAATTAACAGGAGAGTTGAATTGTTTGTGGTTTAAATTTTGGTAGAGTTCGTTGAAACATTTGTTGTGAATGGGTTGCAGACGGCGAAACCTTACTGAAAGAATTGTGTGAATGTGGTTGTTTCTTTTTTCAGGGTCGTACAACTTTTCCTTGTTCGGAAGAATGCATTGATTTAAAACTTTCTGCCAATTTCTGTAGCCGCACCACCACTCTTCCCACAGGTACCACAAGTTTCCAGCTTCGATGTCTTCGTTATTGTCGTGTCTAAAACTACATTTGTTGCGTGAGCACTTGTTACCTTTGTAACAAGTTTCAGTTCGGTACAACAAGGGGTGGAACATTTTTTCAAGTGTGCTATGCGTCATGATACAATAAAGATTGTTACACGCTTGCATATACTGACAGTCTATAGGTAAGTAGAAATACGAAAAACAATCGCGTCTTATGGGTCCTTTGCAATTAAAAGGCTGTTTTTTAAGCGCTGCGGTGCTGGTTTTCAGAAACGTGCTTAAAGGAAAATCCTGCAGGTTTGGCAGCTTACAGTTAACTTGATACGGTATAGTTTGATACCGTAGCTGCTTGCCAATGCTCGTTATGTGGAATTGTGCTTGTTTTTCAAATGTGTGTATCGAATCGTACTTAAGGTCCTTGTAAAAATCAATAATGTCGTTCCATGTGACGATAGGTTTGTTCTTCGATGTAAGTTCAATGCTTTTACTAATATTTGGCTCGATGTTATACATTTTATACTAAACTGATAATGACTGTGTTTAGTTTACATGCATTAAATAAAAGTAGTCAGGAAAATCTTATTACATTTAGAAATTTTGAATACATTCATACAAAAAAATACATTAATAATTTATTTAAATTATTAAATCCTTTTTGACCTGTCTATGGAACAGGAATTGTTGTTACGTTGGCGGGTTGTTCTGGTCTAATTTTTATTGTAATTTATTAATCTGAAATTTGTTTGTAACATTGTAAAATTATGTTTATAAAAAAAGTAAAAGTTTGAATTATTAGTTGAATTATAAGCGATTACAAATCACACTAGCGACCAGTTTCAAATTAAGTATAGAATATTTCGTTGAAACTTTTCGTTACTGTGTGTTGATCGCCGACTAGATGCCGTGAAACTGAATCTTGGCTGTCTAGAAACATATGCGCTTTGAAATATTTTGGTTGTTGACCCGGTTATCGTTAACATGAAAATTGTAAAAATTGATCCGAATCTACCAGTTTCCACACCAAAAAAAGAAGAAGACCTTTCTATCCGTATTTTTCAAACCCTGAACTGGATCAAAGAACACGTCGATTCGGTAGATTGCAAAACGAGCCTTGTTGACCAAATTACATCTAACAGGTTTTTTAACACGTCGAAAAAATTACTTTCAAATAAAAATAAGTCTGCATTACTACGTGTTGACACACAAGCGCAGGAGTCAGCTCGGGACCTTTTGTGCGATGTCATAGATGACTTGCCGTATACTTTCATCAAATGCGAAAGGTTCATTTTTTTAGGGCTGCTGATCTGTATTTATGAATACTGCTATCACATTGTTATGATGCCAACGCTGGCGTTCTACTACGTCTTTAAGTTCATCAAGAACTCTTTTTATACGTTGATCACGCGTAGAAAATTTGTGGAAGAACTCGACTCGAAAAAGCTTTACCATGTCATGAATATCGTTATCTGTGGGTTAGTTGGAATTGCCTTCAACCACTGGGTAAGCGTGACAGCAGTGTACCACAATTTGCGAACGCAAGGTATGTTTAAGCTTTACGTGTTGTACAATATGCTGGATCTTGCTGGCCGCGTTTGGCGCAGTATCGAGCGCGAGGTTCTTATAAACTTATTTAGTTGTTATATTGATGTGTTCCAAAGAGGAAAAAACAAAAAGATTGCTTGCCTTTTCAAGACTTTATTGGGTTCTGCTATAGTGGGCATACATTCTTTCATTCATTTGATTCGCGGCTTGTTGCTTTTTTTGTCTTTGCGAGACTCAAAAAGCGCGATGTTTCTGTTTATGTTCACGTGTAACTGGAACGAAATAAAGTCAACAATACTTAAGAAGCAAAGCAATCTTTCTTTGTACCGTTTACTTTCAAGCGACATCATAGAACGGTATTCGTTTATCTTGGACATATGGTTCGCGCTTATTTACATAATAACAGATATAAGGTTTCCTCATACGAGTGAAGCGTATTTTACGTTGATAAAAAAAATCACGCTCATGATTGTTATCGAACTGATGGTGGATAACTTTAAGTATGCGGTTCTACTTAAATTTAACGGAATAAAAAACAACGTTTTCAGCATTTTCGAAAAGTTAGTGGCGTTGGATTTTTACTGCGCGCAATTCCCGGAGTTGAATCTTCTGATCAATAAAAAATTTAAGACCAACCCAGTAAGGCTTGCTGGATTATGTCCGTACCCAAAGGTCGTAAACGATCGACTTGGATTTAATTCAGTTTCTATCGTGGCTTTTTCAATTAGTATTTTTTACAGTCGGTCTGAATTCACGCACTGGGCTAACTTTGCGCAGCTTTTGTTGTTAGTTTTATTTTTGCTGTTGATTTATTTACTGGCTGCAAGTTCTATAGCTAAAATTCTAAAGCATAAAATAGAAGAAATAGCCAATTTGAAAGAAAGTGATGTTTTAATCACAGATTTTTAGAAGTTCGCTGAAATTGGCGTCGGCGTTGGGGCGGCAGCGTTGATACACGACAGAATGTAATGTTTGGTCCAGTCGGATCGCTTTCTTGCACTCGTCTGTCACGTTGAAAAGCAGCTTGTAGAATGCGTCGTTTTGTGTTTCTTCGTCACTGACTTTAACGAAACCTGGATGACGCTCAAACTTCTCGACAGCATCCGTAAATGTTTCATAAACATCAGTTATGTAGTAGATGTTTCCGTTTTCTTTTAAGACAAATTCATATTTTGTGAGTAGTTCATCTGAAATAATACGTCGTTTCCAGTTTGATTTTTTGAAGTGTGGGTCAGGAAATAAAATGAACATAGCGCTGAGAGTGTGTTGTCTAATGTAGTTGAGCAAATACTTCATACCATTGGTGCGAATGACGCTGCAGTTACGATATTGTTGGAAATTTGATTCGTGGCGAAATGCTAGAATTTTTTTCGCAACAAAAGTACTAGGTTTTTCCCGGATTTCTATTCCGAGTGTAAGCTTGTCTGGGTAGAGTCTGCCGAGCTCGTAAACTAAAGCGCCAAAACCGCATCCCATATCGAGAAAATCAATGGGTCTGTTAATGCCTGAAGCTTCGGGAGACTCTTCTGTTTCATACTCAATTGGGTGTTCTCTTGTGTTTATGTGAAGTTTGTACAAATCTTCTTTTGATGGCATCGGTCCAAAAAAACCTGGAAAGTGTAAATTCCAATTGACGTAGTTGGGGTTTTTGGGGAAGGGCATATTGGTATTGCATAGAGGGTTGCAATGCTGAAAAACGTTTTATGAGTGGAAACTTACAGCACGTTGTCTGTAAAAACACTTTCGAGGCATTTTGCATTCAAAAAGCGTGGTTTCTTGTATATTTTCGTTTGTCATAATGCTGAGACCAAAAAGTTTTCTGTTCCGGAATAAATTGAAGAGGTTTTTTGAATTTTTAATAATAAGTGTTTTTGCATTATGCAATAAAAATTCGGCTGAAAATTTGCCTCAAAATCCAATATATGTAATTATATGTGTATGTATTTGTTTCGTGAAACTTTATAATTAATTCGTGGACTGTAATGAATGAAGCTCAATACAAGCACCAATATACCTATTTTTATTCCCTCGGCTGAAGAAAATCCAGTACTAACAAAGAAAAAGCTGTTTCCTTTTCCTTCGCTGAAAAATTTGTCCAGTAGCAATTCTACAGAATCTACAGGCAGATACAAGGAACCGTTACAAATCAGAAAGTTTTTATCCGAAGCCGTTACGCAAAAGTCAGCGAGAAATGGTTCACACGAGTTTGCAAAAAAAGAACTAAGCCTGAATGATGAACAAAGCACCAGCGTTGTTGAGTCGCTAAAATTCAAAACTTCCATGCTGGATGAGTGCTTAGTAAATATCGAGCATTACATTCACTCCAAACGTGATAACGAAAAAAGACATGAGGGCAAAAATGTGAAAAACATCAAACCTTTTAGTTCTTGTAAAAATGAAGAAATTTTGTTTGACAATTTGGAATTAAACAATTTTCGAAACCCGCATCCAAAGCTGGTTCGAAGCAAAAATGAGATTACTAGTCAAGATACAGAAAGAAATTTAAAATTAGTCCAGGAGTTGAACTCCTCGATTACGGCGATCGCAACAACAGATTCTGTTGTTTTTGAATCTGATACCAAATGCGAGAAAAAGCTCCAACACCAACCCAAACGAACTAGTGTTTTTTCCGAGCAATCAAGAAGCCGGCGAAGTTCCATGTTTAGTTGTTTTGACACTAGCGAAAATTGTTTTTCGCTGGAAAATGAAATCGAGTTTGAAAGATCAAACGACAAAACAAAAAACATACCTGTGATGGACCAAGATCGCCTTCACTCCGAAAAGAAAAATAACCCAGCGAACGATTTGAGCGATCTGGCAAGTTACAACTCAAATATACAACCAAAGGATTGTAACAAAACAAAAAACAGCTCAGAATCAAAAGAGTCGGCTCCACTATTAGCAAACTCGCTTGAAATAGTTGCTGTAAACGATGATAACATCGCAGAATGTTTGGCTGGGTCTCAAGTGCAAAAAACCGCTGCTCTTCAGTTTTTAATGAACCATCCTAAACTGCTTTTTAGTAATAACATCTTAAACTGCTGTTATGCGCTGTTTAATGAGCCCTGTTTTCCAATTATGGTTTCTGTCCTTGACATTCTTTGCAGATTTGTGGTAAATGAAAACAATAATGCCGCACAAGACTGTTACAATAAGTTGATTAAGGCTTGTGTTAGCAACGAAAGCGTCTTTAATTCGCGAATTTCCACTCGTTTAAAAAATTTAATCCGCGATGCTCACTGTAAGCACCCTCAGAACTTCGACTTGATGAATGCCTTTATGGAATATCTGTCTGAGCCACTGAACGGCTCGCAAAATAAAATTACTAAATTGAAATTAAAGACTATTTGTTTTTGTTTTGAAGAGTTGGATACTATAATTAATTTAACGGGGGTCGAATGCATAGATGTGGCCAATATTTCAAACATATTAAAATTCTATTTTCAACAGACCGATCCAAAACTCCGAAGTATGCTTTTATCGTTTGCTTCTAAATTATATAAATTAGGGATTCAAGGGCTGAACGCAAGTGCCTTTACGACAAACAAGGAGCTTCTTTCAAAATTAAGTATCGACATCGACAATAATAGAAAGCAGGAAAAAATAGTAACGCAACAAATTTCTGAACCGCAATCTGAAAATTCCACAATGCAGTGTGACAATTTACGAAACAAGCGAATTAGTGAAGTAGATTTCACGATTGCATTATCTGATAGCATGGGGAAACTTTCTAATAACGCAGAATGGAAAAAAATACTCAGCAGTTTAACAATACTACATGACTCTCTGTCAAACAGTGAGGTCTCTTCATCATCGTCGCGTGTAATAGAGTCAAAGACTTTTGACTTTTTTTTGAACAAAGCTACTAAGACTTTTATTATGTCAATTACTGTTAAGCTCAACGAAATTTTGTTGTTATTTATTACCGTGTGTCAATTTCGACCAAATAAAAACCAGCTTACGGCACTTATTAATTATTTGTTTGGTCTGTTGACAAGTAAAAACACCACGGTAAAAACTTCCATCAGGAAATTGTTTGATATGCTGTTTGATGATTTTACTGAAATTTTCATGACGAGTTTTCTTGAAATCAAAACCTTCCCTTCGGTAGTAGCTCGAGAGAATCTGATTACTTGGTTTAGTGATAAACTAAAAAATTCTGATTGCGTCCAATTACTAGTTGAGACGTCATTGATAAGGAACCTGATTCAGTGTCTATTCGATTTGTGTCTGGATAGTTCAGAAGAAACTAGACAGCATTCAGGACAAACGCTCTTAATGATAAAAAACGTGAATAACCAAATAATTAAAAATGAACTTAGTGAAGAGAAAGACTCTAAGAAAATTCATCGAATCAACGAGCTTTTGAACAAAGCAGAACTGAAGAGAATCAACTTAGGTTCACCCTCACAAACATCTTCTGATAAGCAACCAAAACTTACAAAAAGATTTAGCGAAACAGAACTTACGAAGGACTTTACACATAACCAAGACAAAAAACTACGAATTTCTGAGTCTAATGCGTCAGACAGTTGTGCTGTAACAGATTGGAACATTAATGACTTTAATCTTGACGAAGACGTTAATAATAAAGAGTGTGAGTTATTTTCAGAGTTTACTGCTGAAATAAAAGAGCTTACGACTTTCTTTGACCAAATATATACTTTTCACGGAAAACCCATCAAAGAGCTATACATGTCGATCATTAATCAACGCAAGCAAAAGTATGTTTACGCTTTAAAACAACTAATTGGGCATTCCGAACTGAGTATTTGTGAAATTACTAATATGACATTATCGTGTGTTAACGACCAAGAACAGAGTTTTGCTTTTATAGCCAACTTTTTCAATTCAAAAGAGCATTTTAGTTTTCCGCTCAACGCAATGTTGTTAAGCTCCAATCTGTTGGATAAAAATCTTATTTTGTGCAATTTGCTGAACATGATCCGTGATTCAAAATGTGGAAACATGGTAGCACTTTGTTTACACGTTTTCTATGACATAGTAGTTAAGAATTATCTTCTCAGAAGAGCTAACAACATTCCACGTGCTTTTTGGAAAGAAGCAAGCTTAATTCTGTTAGAGGTTGTACGTGAGAAATACGAATGTTTTTACAAAATCTTGATCGGTAAAACATTGATGAACTTATTAGAATCCATGTCACTAATTGTTGAAGTCAGTGTAACTGAATTTATTAACGTCTTAATAACTTTGGCAGAGACACAAGAGCTAAAAAAATTTATAAATTCATTTCTCGTATTGTACACAAAGCAAGAAGTTCAAAACAGCAATGAAAACAAATACGAAATACAGAAATTTGTTAAAAGTCGTACTTTACAGTTAAGTGGTTTTGATGAAGATAAGAAAAAAGTGGAAATTGAAGAAGAGATGTTACGTTTGACCAAAACGATTTCAAATTTCGACGTGATCAACTTTGATATCGCTATTGTCAAAGTTTTAACCAAAAAACTTAAAAAATCACTCAATGAGACTTGCAAAGGTTTAATGTCGCAAATGCTTCGAATGCTGATTATAAAGTTCGACGATTCTTTGGAGAATGCTTTACGCGATATTGAAATAATGGTACATTTCGCGCAGTTCGCTTATATGCTTGTTACAAACCACCGAGATTTCCGGGAAGCCTTGTGTCTTTTTATTCGTAGATGTGGCTTTGAATTATTAATTTTACCTGTTCCAGCCTTGCTTGAAGACATGAATTTAACGCTGTATTTTAAAAGCTTCTCTGAGATACTGGAGTTGTATTTAAGTAATGACTTGAAAACTAGTACTTACGTAACGTCTGTGTTTAATTCATACGTCAAATTAAACAACAATTGGCAGTTTGTAATTGAAAATATTTTACTTTATTGCAACATCAGTCAAGATAATTTCTATACACTTCTGAAGTTTGCTCGTGTTAAAAACGAAAAGTTGAGACGGTTGTCAGAAAATTTTTCCGACAAAGCCAGCACGCATAAATATTCAATGGTAATTCAGGATTTCGTTACTGTTAGGCAGCCATATGCGAAGTATAAGTTATTGTCTACGGACAAGAATTTAAATTTACCTCAAGCTTCAAACAAAATATTTTTGCCTAAGACGCATTTAGATGAGCCCAGCTTCATATCGCAAATTTTAAAACTTTCATCATATTTTAGTAACGAATTGATACTTGATATGCTACTAGAAATTGATTATAAAAGCAATGAAAGTTCATTTGAATATGGTGCTTATATGAGATTGTTTTTTAAATCGTCTGTCACGAATTATTTTGTCGTGTTATTTAGTTTGTTTGAAACTTTTAATTCAAACCAACCAGATGCGAAAAAAATTAAGTATGTAGAACAAGCTATTAAACTTTGCCATAAAGATTATGGTTGTTCCATCGTTCTATTGCAATGGTTGTTTTTTTCGGTTCCAAAAAATCAGATTTTAAAAGTATTGAAGATTTTGCAAAATATCCTGCTAACTTGTATGTCTCTGACGAAGATAATTTCGACGGATCAGAAGATTGCTTTGCAACTTAAGCATTTGTTTAAATTTGATATAATGAGCAAAGATTGTTACCTATTCAATGCGGAAAAATCTAAATTTATCTTTGATTGTTTAATAGACTGTTTATCCGTTGACTTTGACGTTGAAGACCAGGTGAAAAACGTTAA